TAGTCTAAGCCTTATTATAGCCAAGTTATACCATGCTCGCTTTTGAATTCGCTGAGTTATGACCAGTTACATTTTGTATACCTAATATCTTACATTGGACATGCTTTTTTAAATTTCAAAAGTTGAAAGACACTCTAAGTATAGACAATGTTTAGTTATGTTATACTTTTACATATTCTTCATCTTTCCATAATTTTACTGCTCATTTCCTTAATCTGCAACCTCCCTACCTAATATTTTATGATTTTGTTGTTGAGCTCCGCAAAACTAATCACAACAAAGAAAAAAAAAGTTTTTTGTTCCACCTTGTCGTTAACGACAAGATTTACCTGTTACTTTTTTCGTTTTTTTATTACTTTTACTTTTCTTTCATGTACTCAATCATCATCGCAGCGTGGATCGCGCTCGGATTTTACGGCCTTTCCCTCCAGGCTTCTTCTTATTAGTAATTAGAAAGGGAATTAAAAATAAGGGGAAAGGGATGATTATGGGCATAAAGTTAAGGGTTATATAGAGGAAAAAAGATAGTAAAGAAAATGGTTTTTGATTTTAAAGCAGGTAGAAAGTGTTTCGTACTAGTTGTCAGCCGGCTTCAATACGAGTTTTAAGGAAAAGCTTCGTTTTAACTTTGAAGCTGGATCCAAAACAGAAATTTTAGCTGGAAGACAGTTTTAAACATAAGCAGAACCAACTTTTTAATTCTCTAATCATTTGACAAAAATTCATAAAATGCATTTGTCGAATCAGTTGGTCCCAACACGAAAACAAATATTGCCAAATCCTTGGCTTTTTGTTGAAGTGTAAAGTTAACATTTTTTATCAAAATCTTTTTCTGGATGAATATTGGATATTATAACCTATATGTCTTGAAAATTTACCTATTATTTACTTCTGTTTTACTCGATATTATGTTGGACACAATATTTTGCTATGGTAAGTGCTGTTTTCTTTGATTTTTCGTATTATCCGACTGGTTTTTGATGTAAGCTGTGGATGAACATGTAATTGTTTAGTTTTTACTCCTTTTTTTTGTAAAGCTAGTTTTGGCAGAAGCTGACAATTGAAAAAATTTTGAACTTTTTCTTCGTGGGACTTTGTTTTAGGTATTAATTAGAGTTTGAGCGAATATTTTGGCATAATTTGGACTTTCTTCTTGTTGTAGGTGATTATATAATATCTGATTGCTTTTTCGGTTTATTGTCTTTTGATTTTTTAGTAGTTTTACATTGAATTTTGTAAGAAATGTAAAAAAATTGATTGACTGGAGGACTAACAACGATCCTCTAATTGTAATGTTTAACTTTGGGTTTTTTAAACTTAAACTTCTAACGCTTAACAATGTTCAGAGCAGTCGTTGATCACAGACGTTTAGTCGAAGCGACACGTCTGAGTTTTTTTGTTCATCGACCAAGCCTTCATCTAGGTAGATGAAGGATCCACACCTGTGTGCGCGCGCGACCGTCTCACGCCCGGGGCGGAGGCTAGACGCGCCCGTCGCACCGCCCTAGGATCCGTTTTTCTTGGGTGGAGGGGTCGAGAGTGCAAACACGTTCCAAAAAGCCCTCAGGGATGAAGACGGTCGGGATTCGCTAATTGGTCGAAGAACAGTTTGGGCTCGTAGGCTTCGCGGGGAGCCCTAAAGGTGGGTTGGAGGGGGGATAATTTTTTTGGTGAGGAAAGTTCCGTCACATGTCGCGCGACATTTTTCGGTCTCACCTTCGAGATTTAGTAGGAAAGGGGAGTTGCGGATTCTCGAGGGAGGTTTCATACTATTCGAGAGCTTGCAAGGGAGTAGTTTGTGGTTAATGTTACATGGATAACATGTGATATGCATGAAAATTATAATATTTAGGATTAGTAGTATAGTAGACATATATAATTTTTAAAACGTATATGCATTTTCTTTAAATACTGATAATTCGGTATCGCATACTATGAAGCAATCATAACTTATTGGCCGTGGAGGCGGTAGTAAATTTTTGTAGCAAAAACTTATTACACATTAATTTGGTTAGTCATTGTCCGTGAAAAGTCAATTAAAACGGACAATGAAAGTCGGTGGGGGAAAACATTCAAAAATTTGATTTTGACATTCTCGCGGATTACTGTAAAATTATTTTCGCTTATAACTTTTTTACTGCGCAATATTTGTCATCTTATGGGTAATAGTTTTAAAGTTACTATAGTACCTAGTCTACTATTGTTTGGATTTTATGGGCTTATAATAGTATATAAATAGTTGATGATACTGTATAAAGCTTAGTGTTAAAATTTTTTTTCAATGTCTGTGTTTGTACCTATAACTTACCGACCGGTCGATAAATAGGCTGATTAAAATTCATTTTGAAAAATTGAGAAAATCCGGAAAGTTGACTACTGAAGAGCCGCTCGTGGGTATTTGCATCTGTCATTGTTGCTCCATTTATCTTGACCTCCCTCTTGACGCTATGATAAGATGACTTTGCGCTACGAAAGATGCCACCTGCATCCAGTTAGTGTAAATCATTCGTTGAGTAATGGCTAGCCAAGTTTTGACATTTTCGGCAAACTTTTTAATTTTTTAATTTTTTGAAGCCTTAAGGATTTTGAGGGTTAAAAAATAATATTCTGAAGCATAAAAAAGAGCCTAAGGCTTTCTATGAAATTTGGACCCTAGATCGGTCAATAATTCTATAGAATCTGTTTTATGATCTAAGGTTATCTTTGATGACAACGGGGCCATACTTCAAGGTTTCTATTGTTAAAAAATGTCTGAAATACGACATTTTTTAAATGTCAAATTTCAACATACTGTCGAGGTTACCTCAAAATAACTTGTATAAGTCAAAAAAAAACTGGTACTATTTCATTAATTTTATGCGTATTTTCTTTTGTTAACTTGTCTCTTACGTAATTTTAATTTATCCATTTTTATATAAACGTGCAATTTCATGGTTCATAATGAAATGGAGGCTATATACAACGTTCTTAAGGCTTTTTTTTAGAAAACATTTTTTATACAGTATTAGTGGAAAACTATACAGAACAGTCGTCATGTATTAATACAAGGAATAGTATTATTAGGCTGATTTTTTGGTCTTTGTACAGCTTTTAATAGAAATTTAACGCTGGTTAGTATGATGTTAACAATGATTTTTTACGCAGATATGTACCCTAGCAAGAGAAAGCTGTATCCACAAGTATTTTCCTTGTAGCACTACAAAAAAGAAGCTAGAAAACACATTTTTTACAATAAAACCTCTAGCATATCAATTAAACGCTCTAAATTATCCTTGTTTTGCTATTCATCTCTAATATAAACAAAATCACCTCAATAAAGGCAAAAGCGGATCAACCATATTATATTCAAACGCCAATTAACCTTATTATAGCCAAAACTTTATCCTTTCATTTTGTCGCTCCTTCCGATAAAACTGGCACTCGTAGTAACAAATCCTAGGTGAAATAATCCAGGGTCACACAGCCAACCAGTAGACATTTTTGGTTAGGCAACATCCAAAATAAGTAGAAATTTCTAAATTACATGGTTTTGCCTATAAATAAATTCAAAAAAAGGGTTAATTTCTACGCATATAATATGATGTAGATGATTTTTTTCTGAAGCCTACGGTGAAATTTTGGCGTTGTTTTGATAAAAATTGTTGGGAATCTGGGGATGGTTTTTGTCAGTTTGTAGTAGTGTGTAAAGTAGAGGATGGTTGGTGGATTTTTTACATCTAGATGTGTTTCTTGTATATTTTTTTTAATTTCTGATTTTTTTAATTTTTTTTAAACATGGTTTTTATAAATTAAGTTATACCTATTGTCGTAGTGTTCAGAGTTTTTTCTTGATAGCCAGTGTTTTGCCGGACCCGTCCGGTCCGGACCGGACCTAGAGCCGGACCGGACCGAAAATTTTCCGGACCGGACCGAAAAAAAAGTTCCGGACCGGTCCGGAAAAAAATTTTTTTTTATTTTAATAAAACTGTTTTAAAAATTGCAAATAAAACATATTTTTAAGGGTTTTTAAACTTAAAGAAAGCAGTTTTAGCGCTCCTGGCTCTTTTTAAAAATAAAAAAAAAATTTTCCGGTCCGGACTTGACCTTTTTTGGTCCGGACCGGACCTGAGCGAAAAAAAATAGAGCCGGACCGGACCGAAAATTTTTCGGACCGGACCGAAAAAATTCTCATCCGGACCGGTCCGGCAAAACACTGTTGATAGCAACCTACTTTTTTAAATTTTATGTGATATTTTCCGCTCTTTCATACAGCACTGTACCATAAACTGATAAGTAGATCTGTAAAGGGCCCTGCCTAGTCCGGGCCGAGTGGGCGCTTTTTCAGGTCTACTGCTAAGAGATGGTAATCTCAATAACTGTCTACTACCATATTTCAAATTTTCTTCCTATCTCTTAATTGTGCAAATCCTATAGATCAATAGTAAAATCATAAGGTCATTTGACACTATTGGTACCTATACCCACAAAGAACTTTCTAACCTTTTTTTCTTCCTCCTAGTCGATCTACAATGTAAGACTACTCCCACATCACGTTCCCAAGAATTTCAACAAAGTACCTAACCACAACAGGAAGTAATAGGTAAAATCCCAGAGATTAGACAATGAGATTATGCCGGTAATTGATATACTATTTTACGTATGCCTTATGTGCTATGGAGTATTTTTAAGTGTTTTTTGGTATAAACAAGTCTAGTCTTGATGGTCATTATTTCTGTTTTAAGAGGTTAAGTACTGTATTTTGATAGTTTCTTAATGAGGTTACTGTATTTTTCTTGGTTTTGGTACTAATTCTTAAATTGTCTCACTAAATTTTTTTGAAATAGGATTACCGTATCAATTCACTCATTTTCTCAAAAAAATTGTTTTTTCTCTTTTGATTGTCTACCTACGTAAATTTTGATAATACAATACGTTTTTTATAGAACTTCGCGGTATGATCTATTCCGTATTTTACATACTTTTTTCAGTTTATGTTGTAAACGCCCAGCTGAAAACGACTAATGTCCATTCCGAGTTCGGTGATGATGAACTGCAACAATGGACTGATCAAACCGGAGGCTGACCAATTCCCGGTCAATTTTGACTGGGACAACTTTCCGCAGGATGGGTAAGTTACAGTATACGGTACCGTAAAAACGTTTTGAAGACTTTTATCTTATAATTCTTTATTCTTACACCTTATTTAAAATTTTTCCACCTTTATTTTCGTCATATTCTGTTATTGTGCCAGCGGTTCACTAATTTAAAGTGCCATCACCGTTCTAATCCCCAAACCAAATTGCAAACATGTTTACACCGACCAATTTGTGATGTTCGTATCCCATTTCTGCAGTATCGCACATATCTACATATTTACATTGACATCACGAAAACAGAATCGTTTGACGCACTTTAAATTAGATGAACCTGCAGGGCATTAAGCGGATTAGTTATGTTTATGGGCTTTGAAAAGATTTTCATTTTAATACATTTTTCTTCACGATTTGCAGGCTCGGCCACGCCCCGCCCGACTACATTTATCCGCCGGTTCGCGTGGCCCACCCTCAACCGGTTCAGAGTCATCTGAACATCGAGTCCATCAAGACGACACCGCGCTTCGACACTAGTGACAATTCGATAAGTAAGTTTGTTTTGTAATTAAGTAATTGAATAATATAGTGTAAAAACTGTATGTTAGTATAATATAAGTTTATGCTTGTTTTATAGTGGAATTTTAGGTTTTAAATGCAGATCTGATAGTAGAACAGTAATTAAATCAATATTTTGGCTTAATTTTTATATGTAACCTCAAAATGTAAAAGTTCTTTTATGTACGTGCCAAATTAGTAGATTACTATAAGACACATTACTATAAGATGATATGTGTGCTGTTTAGTACGGGTATAAATTGCTTTAAGATGTTGGTAATTAATTAATCTAGCAGATAATTGAGCTACTATATAAGGCCAATATTTTCGTACTCAGCTCATTATTATTTAGCTATAATATGTTTCGGAAAATGTAAAAATATGTATACTATAAGACTTTCGAGTTCTTTATAGTATACTAAAATATTTTTGTACTTGTGATATATAGTTTCTTAATGATAATGTAGATGATATTTTAGACAAATTACAATTTTATTTTACCTCTTTTCAGATTCCCAATTCTCCCACAACCATACCAAGTACTCACAATTAAACGCATCCACCCCATCGACAGCCGACCGTTCCAGGTCTCGTACCCCACCCTCGCCCTCAAACACGTCTAGTTCCATACCCTCAACCTCATCCGCAATGTACCTACCCCCACAATTGCACATGCCCCACCACGAAATGAACTACACCTCCACCTCACCCAACAGTGCCGGCTACGAAACGGTCGATATGTTTGGGTCGACAAAAGTCAGCGAATCCTCACTGACACCCTACACTGATGCCACGAACTGCAAGAAGTCGTCGAATCACATTAAACGACCAATGAACGCGTTCATGGTCTGGTCCCAAGCTGAACGACGGAAAATCTGCGAACATCAGCCCGATATGCACAATGCTGAAATCTCGAAACAGTTGGGTACGCGGTGGAAACAGTTGAGCGAAGAGGAGAAACGACCTTTCATCGAAGAAGCCGAACGCCTTCGCCAACTGCACCAAAAAGAATACCCGGATTATAAGTACAAGCCGAGAAAGAAGCCAAAGAAGAACGTGCCCGGAGTCAAGGACATAAATGCGAACGAAGAGCGACAAAAGACTCAGAAACGGTAAGTACAACTGAATTTGTTGTAAATTCCTTGGATTATTTTAGATTTTGAGTTCTTTAGCTTTTATTGAATTATTTCGAAGCTTAGGATTAAAAATATTAAAATTCGAAGTTTTCGGGGCTTCAACTGATCTTCTGTTTTGTATTTTGGGATTGTTGCGATTTCTGGGTATAAGCTATAATATATAGACTTTTTCATAATTTAAAATGTTATGTTATGGTAGCTTCAAACTCTTAGTTCTTATCGCAAACTCTTTCCTAATTAAATTCATCGTGATCTAACTTTCTAACTTATTGTCTCTTTACCTCTTGCCAATGGCTCAGTAATTAGCGAATTTTTTTATCCACAATTTGACTTATTACGCAACCAAGGTCGCCGACATTCCATTACTTGTTTATCCGAAATAACTTTCTTCCCGAACTCGAAAACACTGTCATCTCGCGAAATCATGCGTCAATAACTCGACTGTCGTAATAACATCACAAACTTCGTAAAATTGTAATGCAGTTAACCTTTGTAGTCAAGCTGAAGATCTTAAGATAGCTTCTAGTAGCCTCTCATCTTAACTTTGCTCTTTGTCATCTTTTTTCTTGATTTCTCTTGATATCTTCAGTCATTTCTTGTAACATAAGTGAATATTACTTTCTATACTTTCTCTTCACGTATCTTCAATCATATTCATCTATCGCCTTTAAAAATATCTCTACCATCTTTCAAAAAAACTGAATACGCTTCCCCAACGTATCCCCAGTCATCCATTTGACTCCGTCAACGTTTTTTACGGATCCACGTTTGTTTCTCGTTGAAGCGCAAAGTGGAACGGTTTCACCTTATAATATTTTTTAACCAATCATTCAACATGTTTGTCGTTCCGAGAAACGAGTAACGCGAGAGTGGAAAAGCATTTTGCGCAATGTTTTCGTAAAAATTTATGAGCGCAAGAAACAATTGAATTTAACGTTGGAATCCGAAAAAAACGGTTTAACATCAGGTGGTGGTGAAGTTCACGTGAATGATATAGGATTCTTGTATTGTATTCAGTTATTTTTGAAGAGTTTGCAAAAGAAAGCCGAGAACAAAATGCGAAAAGCTAAAGTGTTACCTAAACGCTTCAAAAAGATAACTTTTTCCAGTAATTGTTACAAAATCATAAAACAAAAACCTTAATTTTAGTCTAAGAACACCCAATGACTTTTAGTTTACAAAGAATCCCCTTTCCTTCCTTCCTTTAATCCATCAATTCCCCTCCAAAACCGTAAAAGCGAGAACAGATACCTAAACTTCAACAAAACCAAGAAATCATACCTAATTTTTTCAGATCTCTGACGCAACCCGTTCCAATGGCGACAATGGACCAAAACAAGCAATTCCAAAAGTGCCAGTTCCCAATTGAGTCCATGGATGCCAATTTCCTCTACCAACAACAACAACAAGCCTTCTTCCAGTTCAACGACGAAACCGCCGCCAAAAAGCGGAAGAACGGTCAAATGGCACCTTTGGCCATTGACAACCACCAAATCCCCAACCCGATCTCACTACAACCCCAAAATCAGCCTCATATGAATCAAGGAGGTAAGGAAATTGGCCAAGATTTCTTAGAAAACGATTTTCTCGAAGAAAGCCATGTTATACGACAAAACATGTTTCTTGTGATACTTGTTTGATGTTTTTTAAGAACAGATTATTGCAAAAATTGTAAAATTGGTTATTATAAGTTTCAATTTTTTGATATTTCTAAAATTTTTCTTTATTTTGAAAATTTCAGATTACCAACACCAACCAATAGCAATGTATGGAAACGCGTTCCCATCGCCAACGGACAACCGAAACGCTCCAAACACTCCAGAATCTGGCTTCTACGATGACTTTAATCATTTTAATGCTTCTTTACATCAAAGCCATATGAACGCGAGTATGACGGCTAAGTATCAGATGCCAACCACACCAGTATTAAAGGTAAGAATTTCTTGAAGGCTGCTGTGTTTTAGCTTTATTGTAACTATTAATGATTTTTGGGTATTCCTTCACTTTTTTCTTTTGATTTTTGGACAAAAAATACCGGTTTTCGATAGTTTTTTAAAAGGATTTACCATGGATAATATAATATTTTGGTCGTTTCAGGAAGAAATCCGCTCATCCTCATCAGGATCCTCAACTTCGTCACAAATCTACAACCAAGAAGAACAATTGAGCTACTACAACAACATGAATTACTGTTATAACGGCGATTATCAACAACAACAACAATATATGCAACCGGAGAACGATAACTGGATGATGTATCAAGAAGGTGGCAAATTTGGTGTTTGGCGATAATAGTTCGAATTGTAGTCGTGTTCTCTCGGTTCTATTGTAAAGTCTCAATTTTTATATTATTGATTGTAATCTTACGTTTTTATATTGTTTTATCCAAATTTATTCTTTTGTATTATTGTTTGTAGGAATTTATATTATTCATGTTATCGTGTCGTGTGTAAAGTTTCACATTAGTTATGAATTATTATTTGGCAATGCATTTAGTCTTTTATATAGGTATATGTATTGCTATTAGATTTACTGTATTGTTAATGTAATATTTCTCAAATGTAAGTTTTATATTGGTCAAACCTTTGTCATCAGTGACATATTGTCGTAAAACTCATATTTTATTGATGATTATTGCGGCTATTGCACTTTTGCACATAATGCACGTCTTTGACCTCGAATGTCGTTTAATGGTAGGGTTGCCATTTGTAACCCGGTCTAACAATGTACATACATGCCGATCACTGTCCGAAATTTATACGCCCCAAATTTTATAGTATCAATTCGTACTGTAATACCTAATTATTCCATTTGAACAAGAAATTCAACTAACCTCCACGATTGTACTCATCGTACCTTTCATTAGCCATTTACGTACAATAATGTCTTTGTTTTTTACCTGATTAGATTGTATGCTTTTAATTATGACAAAAATAAATGGAAAAAGAATAAACAATACAAATTATAAGGCGGGCTTGATTTTTTAAAGATTTTTATTCTTTCTTTATTTTTTTAAATTTTTTACGGTGCAAAAGTAACGTCGTTTTTAACATTGCCATAATTTATTGAACCTCTGTTTTTTGGTTAGGACCTAAATTTACGTTTAAACTTTTGTAAACTTTATTTATTACTTTTTTTGTTTACTTCGAAGTTTGTTATTTTGCACGGTGCAGTCTTTTTCATTTTTGATTTGCACCGTGCAGATTTTCGCAGCTCTTGCTTTGAAACAAAAACCTTCAAAGTGATGGCTTGATTGGCTTCTCAAATCATTTGGCAAATCTTGGTTACCCTTTCTTTTCCTCTCTCTCTCTCACTCCTATGCTCTCTCATTCTGCACCGTGCAATCAGTTTGTCGCAACTCCCGTTTTGGTGTCAAAATTCGTCGTTTTTTTTCCAAAATGCTTTTTTGTTTTTTCCGTTTTCTGCTCTCTCACTGTACCCTGATCTTTCATTCAGCATGGTGCAATGAGCTTGTCGCACTTGTCGCATGTCCTTTTGTTGCATCAATCAATAATCCAGGTATCCCAAATTCACCTCTAATGTTTTCTCTCCCTTACTTTTCCACTCTCTCGTTTTCTTTCACTCTCTCATTCTGCACCGTGCAATAGGGTTGTCGCGCTTGTCGCAAGCCTTTTTTGCCACAAAAATTCACATCTTTGGTTCCGCAAATTGTTCTCTAATGTTTCCACTTCTTTTCCACTCTCACGTTTTTCTTCATTCCCTTATTCTGCACGGTGCAAACAGTTTGTGGCACTTGTCGCAACTCTTGTTTTGGGCCGAAACCCGCCGATTTGATGGTCCGATTCCTTTCGAAAATTGCTCTCTTTTTCGCGTTTCCTTTTTTCTTGCACTGTGCAGTTCGTTTAACGCCAGCCGGTTGTCACAACGCAATTTCGCACGGTGCAATGAGAATGTCGCGTCTTGTTTGGCCCGAAACCTGCCGATGAAAAGCCCAATTTTTTTTGCGTTTTTTTTTTTGATTTCTTTGCCTTGTTTTCCTTTCTTTTCCGCCCTCTCTTATTCCTGTTCTCTCTCATCTTTTGCACCGTGCAGACTTTTGTCGCGGGTTTCACACTGTGCGACTTCTTAGGGATCCCCTATTTCTGAGGAAAATCTCTTCAATTTGAAAACAATTTTTTCTTTGATTTTGGGTGATTGCACTGTGCAGGCCTTCTTGTTTAGTTTTGTCTTTTCCACTCTCCCTTTTCAACATTGTGTCTTGTTTTTCCATCATTGAAAGGCATTGCACGGTGCGAATTTTTGAAAGTTTATTGTTTGCAGTCTAGTTTTTGAATTGACGGCCAATTTTTCAAAATTCTACATGACCAAACAGTAACAGTTTGTAAAGTTAAAGCCAAACAAATCAGCGCAGTAAAATTTATACAATAAAAAATAAATGACATTATCAAAACGTAAAAATAAACAGCCACATCGACATTTACTACCGTTACCCGTGTAAGCCATTGTACCTCGTAGATTCCATGTTCACAGCAAACTGCCTCTGCAAAAATTATATTAACATTTACATAATTTACAGTACCATATTAAGCAACTTATTTTAAGTGCAATTTTTTAATGTAAGAACGCAAACTGTTTTGTTAAAACGAACTATCTATAGTAATTCAAACGTCGATTATACGACATAACAGTGTGAAACAGTAAATTTTTCAAAACTTTAATAAACTTACTGATAAGTGAGATAAGTGTCGTAAAATTTTTTGAATTTCGTAGTTAATTTGAACTTTTTGTTGTAATATGGTATGGATTCCTGAATCTTCTTGATATCATCTTCCGTAACGGCTTTTGAGTAGATTGCACATTCCAGAAAATACCAATCTGCCAAAACATCCATTTTCTGAAGCGCATCCATACGCTTCTTTATATCGATCTTCTTTTCACAATTTTGCACTTTTACGTAGTCTTCTTCGCCTGGTAAAACGTATGACGTCCCTGAAAAATTACCATACATAAAACCTTTTTAAAATTAGATATCAAAATAGCAACAACTTTCTTTCCAGAATGTACAACGGCAACAACATTCTTTCCTGAACATAAGATGTGGATAAATTTGTAATCAAATGCTAACCCAAAGAAAAAAATGTAAACTCACATCTGAATTCCTCATCCAAAACAATTTTGATGCTACAGTGAAGCCTAGCTTCAAAAGAACACATGTCTTTTGGTGGTCCAGTTGTAACCACGTTGAATCCACAACGTCTTGATCTTGATTTGAACCCATCATACGCCTTCTGTTTATATTTGTCTAAAGATAAAATAATTGCGCCAGTTTTCTCGGCATCTTCCAATGCAGCTTTATCGTCATCTACCTGATCAGGCAGCACTGTAGCAATTTCCAACGCTTCCAACTCCTAAAATGAAATTTTAAAAATCAAGGTAAAACAAACAGATGGTATAACCTGATTAAATTAGGACTAAAAAGCCTACGTTAATAATATCTTCATTCACTGTGGTCTTATCCATGGCCTTCGCTTCATTTTTAAAATATTGCTTTATATACACATGAACGTCAAATCCATACTCCATCAAGTCATACACCAAGATTAATAAAGCTACTGGATTGAACTTGCTGTAAAAATATATTGTTGACAATAAACTATCAAAAAGATGTAAATTCTTATTAGAATTATATGTATTTATAATATAAAACATTTTTTTTATAATAATAACTATGACGACCATAATTAAGACCATTGACTCATTAAAAACCTTGTTCCATTACCTAAATAGCAAAAAAATAAAACACGGACTACTTACTCATTGTCACAATGTACATCGTATGCCTTGTTGCCCGCATTATAAATAAAGTTGCATCCGTCGATAACGACACGACGTTTCACTCCAAACTCGGCAGTTTTAAACTCCTAAAAACGATTTTTTACGGTTAGAGTCCTGAATCATATAATAAACATCATTATTATCCAAAACATACGTAATAAACTTACTTCTGGTGTCCAAACTGTTTCATACCACTTATATTTATCTAACTCCGTCTCGGGCTTCACTTCTTCTCGAGGTTTTCGAGACCTTGTTGTTGACATAAATTCCTAAAAATTATTAGTATTAAAATTCTAAAATATTATTATGTTATTAAGTAATTAACATTATAAAAACAACGGTAAAACTACTTTAAAATAAGTTTAAACGTTCTAACAAAAAAAACGCTCGAAAAATCTTTTTCCAAAATTAATTCGCAGCAATTTGCGCCCAGACAAACAGTTAGAGCGCGCAGGCTGCAATGTCTCTTTTCTACGAAGGACGAAATTATGTTTTGTAAAAAGAAGTTTGTTATACAGAAAATTGTGATAAGTGAATAATACTAGCCTCATCTTTGATATTAAAATATAGTTTTAAATTTCAATAAAAACTAAATTTTTTAATTTTCTTAGTTTTTTTGTGTTTTATGGCAAGGAACTCAACTTTTTTAAAATTATTTCGCGAACTATTTCGATATATAAAAATTCTGTAATTGATTGAGTTTTAGAATTGGAAAGAAGAATACAAAGGTACTTTTTACGTTGAGTTTTGTATTTTAGCCAGCTAATTTTGTGTCCTGAAACAAATAGCGCCTTATCATTGATTAGTGATAACAACGTTAATATTCTTTTTAAAAACCTACTAATGCTCTGTTTTTTAAACTACTTTTATTAAGACTGTTCTAGTTAGAATGTTTAATAAATTTGTTTTTATTAGTTTAGCTTTTTTATTTGTTGCTGTGACAGCTAAATTTGAGTTTGATGTAAGTTAATATAAAGGTTATTATAGTCTAACTAAGATTTATCAAGTGTCCACTTATTAAAAATTTTTGACAATAGGAATGCGCTTTACACTCTTTTTTGCTATAATCTCATGCTTAATATTCATATGCTTTATTTTAGGCCTCTCTTAGCTAATAACATGATTTGACTATACTAAATTAAATGTTCAGGTAAAAAAATGCAGAGCGGAAGTCAAACAAGCAAGAGAACGTCTTACAAACGTCGTTCAACATCTAGCACAATATGAAGCTGAAAATCGCTTATCACGTTTGTTGGTAGGCTTAGGAAATGTAGAAGTTAAAGACGATGATGATTTAAGTGAGGTATGTGGAGAAAGAAAGCCGACAATGTTCCCGCCACCAAATGATGATGATAATAAAACAAGTAACTTTGAAATACCAAGTATCTTTGGCGAAACGTCGGAAAATGACATTTATGTACAATATATGAGTTCGCTATTCGTAAGTTTCAATGTTGTACTGACCAGTGCCGTCTTATTCTTTTTTGAATTTTAGTACAAAAACTATTCTATACTGTAATTTTAGCAAAACTTGGCAGATGAAGAAAAGATATGCAATGGAGGATACGACGGGTTGAACTCAGTAACCGAGGAACAACTTTACGGTGCTTTGACTTTGTTTGCCACAAACCATGCTGGACCAATGTGTCCGATTTGTACTGGACTTGTAACTATGATCATTGATGAGATTAAACTAAATCTGGGGAATTTAAGTGTGAGTTGTAATAGAAGTATTGCTTTTATAATATAAAATTTTGTTGCACTACTGATATTGTTTTTATTATTTTGTCTTATCTGCATTTTGAAATCGTTGCCAACTTGAAAAAAAGCCTAGTAGTTTTTCGAGTTATTTTTAACTAGGATATTGAAAAAAAATTAAGTATTATATTTCAGGATGAAATGCAAAAGATAATTTTGGCGTTATTGAGTTATTTGCCACAACCAGAACAAATTTGCTTGAAGGTTTTTCCTAAGTGTATTGATCATTCAAATGGTGAGGAATTTTGAACACAGTGAAGGGTGACTTTGTAATAAAAAGTTTCTTGTAAAACCAACCCCTATATATAGTTATGCTGTGCGTACTCTCTGAAGGGAATTGTCGTTTTATGAAGTTTTAATTCCAAGTCATTATTTTTAATTTTTTAAAAATATATTAATAAATTTTAGGTACTGATTTCAACTCGACTAAATGTTTCCAGTGTAGTATGTGTATGAGCACTACGACTATACTTGAAGTAAGTCGAATACAAAGCAAAACTTTTAGGTTACAAAGAGTAAATATAACATTAACTTTGTAAATAGATTCATGATCAGGTCTCAGATTTTTTTGAGCTATACCGCATGTCTGGACTGCGACTCGTTTCTTGAAATAAATTAACCTTAAAAATTTTGTTTTTAGCACAACTTTTTATTAGTGGAAAAAAGGGTGCAAAGTTTTAAAGACCTTTTACAAACTGTGGTAATAGACGATTTTTGCACCGAATTATGCTACGCGTATCCGCCATCTGATGAAAAGAAAAAGGGCCCTTTTCCTCATGGAGTTTCGAAAGATGACTGTGTTACCAATACGTTGTTAGCTTACGACATCATTTTGAAAGCGGCAAAATACCTGTTCTTGCCTAGTCCGTTCTGTCGTAATGTAAGTTATTTGTTTAAAACTAAAACTGTAATATAGGTAAGGCCAGTGTTTTGCCGGACCGGACCGAAACAGAAATTATTGTGGACCGGACCCAAAAACCTGCGGACCGGGACCGAAGAAAAAGCTCCGGACCGGTCCGGAAAAAAAAAATTTTTTTATTTTAAAGGACCTGTAAACCCCCGAAAAATCCCTTTTTGAAATATCGCCATGAACCTGGCATTATGCCTTATCGTGGCGGGACCAAACGGAAATCCTAGCGTAAAATATTTTCAGAAATTTTTTTCATGGATAATATTTTAATGAATGTCCTTGATTTCACTAGAAATTGCTGTTTTAACTATTGTTTCTGTGTTGTAAAATGCTATTACTGGCTCGAGTTTTCCAGGTTTTATCCGAATTTACACTTTTATTTTATTATAGTGTACTTTCCGGTAACGTTTTGAGAACTTTGGCCAGGTTCAAGTTAAAACAACTTTAAAAGTTGATTGGTAAGTATTTTTTTATAAAATTTATGTTGTTTTAAATGAATAATCAATTTTTCAGACATTTATCATTATGTTTCAACAGTTTTGGTGTGGTTTCGCACTTCGATGTTGGTATAGCGCAATGTCGAGCTAAAAGATGAAAGCTTGGACCATTTTTGGACTTGAAAACTTACAGAATGGCTGCAGAAGATGTTAAAGGTGTTTTTAATCTTTTGCGGACGATTCTGGTTCAAAAAGCAGGCTAAGGAAGGATTACTGCCACATCGCAGATAAAACAAGGTCAACAAGCGATTCGTAAGTGTTTTATTGCCATTGTTGTTGTGTTAGGTATCAAATTGGTCAGTTTAATTAATTGTATAAATTGTCATAGACTTTCGTCGATTTTAATATCCGAAACACTGCCCAATTCTCATTTGTTACCTATAAATTCCGCATCTACGCAATATTCTTTTGTGAAAACAGACGGAAATCAATTGCAAGAGGACAAGCACTTGTGGATTAAGCTTACTTAGCCAATTTCTACCTAAAACAACAAAAATGGCAATAAAACACTTACGAATATCTTGTTGACCTTGTTTTAGCTGGGATCCGGCAGAAATCCTTCTTTACCCTGCTTTTTGAACCAAAATCGTCCGCAACGGTTTAAAAACATCCTTTAACATCTTCTCCATCTATTCTGTAAGTTTTCAAGTCCAAAAACGGCCTACGCTTTCATCTTTTAGTTCGAAATTGCGCTATAACAACATCGAAGTGCGAAATTACATCAAAACAGTTGAAAATTAATGGTGGGTGTCTAAAAAATAGATTATTCATCTAAAACAACATAAATATTATAAAAAATACTTACCAATCAACTTTTAAAGTTGTTTTAACATGAATCTGGCCAAAGTTATCAAAACGTTACCGGAAAGTACACTATAATAAAATAAAAGTGTAAATTCGGATAAAACCTGGAAAACTCGAGCCAGTAATAGCATTTTACAACACAGAAACAATAGTTAAAACAGCAATTTCTAGTGAAATCAAGGACATTCATTAAAATATTATCCATGAAAAAATTTCTGAAAATATTTTACGCGAGAATTTCCATTTGGTCCCGCCACGATAAGACATAATGCCAGGTTCATGGCGATTTTTCAAACGCTGTCTTTACAGGTCCTTTAAGAAAACTGTTTTAAAAATTGCAAATAAAACATATTTTTAGGAGTTTTTAAGAAAAAAGAAAGCAGTTTTAGCGATCCTTGCTTTTTTTAAAAATTAAAAAATTTTTTTTGCGGACCGGACCGGACCCAAAAATTTTGGGTTTGGACCGGTCCGGACCGAATCCAAAAATTTGAAGTTTGGACCGGACCGGTCCCGGCAAAACACTGGGTAAGGCATTTACATTATCACGTTGAAAGGGGACAAATGGACGTTATACCTTATGTAACGCTTCATTGAACAACTTATATTATACTAAAAATAAAGTGTTAAAGTTAGTATTTCGAAGCCAAAAATTAAGAAAATTTCAGCTTTGTCCATCGAATCTAACACCGAATATTTTACATTGTCTCCACGCGTTTTGTATTGAAAATCAAAGGGAGTTCTCGTTTTTGGCACCAATTTGTGATCTGATTCCAGACCATCCTGACGATGCGGCCAAGTACTTGAATATTGTGGGGCAGAGACGACACGACGAGTTTTAAATTATCTTTTTACTTTTCAAAAATTGGGTAGATTTTTAAAGTTTAAATAAATTTAATTTTTGTTATTTTATCTTAAATATGTTACACTAAAAGTGCGTACACAGGTATCATATCATATTCTTACTCAAGTGTATTTATGTAGCTATAATTTTAAACGGCAATTTTATAGATATACGTATGCATAAAAATTATTTTTTCAATTACAATGTAAAAATAGATGTAAACTCGTGCACACACTCTTAAAAACTAAAATAACACTCATTTTAAACTTTTTAATCCGTTTTTCACACAACCAAACATGCGTTCGTCTTTCGTGCAGTCATATTTTTTTTAAATATTACACACTTTTGAACGTGTTTACATTTAAAATGACATTTTAAATAAGTTATTTTAAATTTATATTTTGGCCATTATTTATTGAAAATTCACTTTTTTAATAAAACCTTATTTTTTATTTGTTGCAAAAACAGAACACAAGACAAACTGGTCCTTCTTTAACACCCAGTTTTACAACTTTGGCATTATTCTTTAGTCTTGTTCTAAAAGCACGCGATACTCTTTAAAATTGTAGATTTGAATGTGTTTCATTTCATTATTGAGCTTCTAGAATATTTATTGTTATACACGAGACTATAAAAAGAGGTCGTTTACAATGTCAAATTCATAAGAATAAACCACTTTAATAATTCAATAACGTTAAAACTGTTGGTATTTCTAAAAAAATCTTGTCGTTTTTGAACCTACAAATTAATGACCAATAGCGACAAGAATTTATTATCTTATGATTGTTTCAAAAGCTGAGGCAATTTTATTTTGTAGCGTGTTAGCTTCCTGTAGGTAACACGTGTGGCCTAGGTTTCTTTACCAATGTAGAAAGAATTATTTTTCAACGTTGTTTTTACTATAACAGAAGTTTGTATTATAATACTAGAATTAATGTTTCAGCTGATGAAGTTGCTTCCTTTATTTTTGTTGGCCGTAACATTATTCCTTGTGTATGGTTACACGACTGAAGACCTAGAGAAGTACGAATTTCAAAAATGCACTCAAGTTGTGCTGGATATGCTAAATAACGATTGCATTTATCCTGGTAAACAATGGCCTTGCTTCTACATGAGCCAGTTTAATATTAGTAAGTTTTACTGAAGATATTTTGTTAGTAGTTTTTTAATTCATGTTACTTTAGGTGACGGCCTAATTCACCACAGCAGAAAAGTACTACAATATACTTACGTGATCTGCCAGGAACCATCATTAGTCGTCAATCTCGCTGAAAACTTTTGTTGTTTTACCAAAAATTGTTTACAAAAATGCTACCCACCTGAATCAGATTCCGAGCAAACAATCTCATAAGACATACAGTACTAAAAATGTTCTTGAGAAAAGGTTAATTTCGTAAAGCTGAAAAAAATTAAATTCTCTGTGTCATTTTTAAGTATAGTCTATTACTTTGAGTGTATTACTATAAAACAATATAATTTTTTGTTATCCCGACGACAAACTAAAACTTTGTACGATCCATCAAATTCAGCAATCTCGATCTCAATTTATGTACTATACTATTAATTCTGTTGCCAATAATATTATATTATAAAAGTTGTTAAAATAGAGCAAGTTTGTTAAGATGACATTAATATTTTTACTGTAATTTACTATGATGACATGGATAATATTGTTGTAATTTTGTTGGAGTATAATAATAAAGTTTCTGTTGTATGTTGTGGGCCACAGTACATGAAAAAGTTAACAAAATATAAAAATAAGTTTTGGTGAGTCTAATGCAAACTTCATTATAATCAAACGACCCCAAAAGGTATGGTAAACAGAGCGTTAGGAGTAAACGTTGGTATTCGTTGGTATTCTTTGTATTTTTTTTTAAATCGGTAGTAACACATGCATTCCATCACATCGTTTTTTAGGCCTCAAATAAGAATAAAAATGTATATTTAAATGTGCATTTAAATTGAAATTTTGAACGTGGAAATGAGTCAACTAGCTTCTGACTTGAGCCCCATAAAATGGCCCAAAAATCACTATGATTCAAGTTCTACAGCATTTTATTTGATCACAACGCTCCCATTTTATGTCAGTTTTTATATATTGCTTTTGGTAAAACTTTGTTATAGAGGAGTTTGTTATACATGAGATAACTGTATTTTTTGTATCTAAAGGTCCAGAAAATGGACAAGTATGTAGTAGATGACCTACTTTCATCCACTTCATGTGATGCTAGTTGTGACAGAAGCTGTAAGTTTTTAGAAATATTTCAGTGTTTTAAAATACGGTAGGCGTATCTTATAAGCAACAATAAGGGACTGACATTATGTGTTTACTATAGCAAGTTCTGCTTTTACATAAGTGACATTTAGCGCAGTATAGTGTAAGAGAGGAGAGAAGAATTGAGACTAGTGTTTAGTTTTGTAGTCTGGGACTAATCTTAAAATATATTTCAGCCTGGTTGGACATAAACGGATTGTTTTTTGACATTTCAAAAAACCGACAAAAGAACTTTACTGAAGCTTACAACTGGCAGAATAACAAAACATTGGTTGTGAGACGAGGTTTCAGCTTTACATTACAATTAACTGCAAACAGACTCTTTAACTCTACAAATCATGCCATCATTTTTGTTTTTGATAGTGGTAAGTTGATGTAATTGTACTAGTTTACACTGTAAAGATAAGGAGTGAGCAGGGTAAGATTGATTATTGTAACATTGGACTGTATAGCTATCCTTAGGAGCAGGAAGGTCGGTAGCAGACTCAGTCCAACAAATACAACTCCAATCGAACTGTAACAACTTTGATGACAACACTTCCGCCGATTGGACGGCTGAATTGATTGAAACTGATCACAACGTCATCACTGTCGAGGTAAGTCTTAACTAACTTAAGATTCTTACAAATTGTAAGTAAAATATTATAGTTACAAAAAGTTTCTTTTAGATTAACATACCAGTAAAATGCATTATCGGCTGTTGGACGTTGCGCATCTTTAGCGGTTTTTTTGAAGAACCTGATCAATTGACCGATATTCACGAATGTAGTGTGTCCAAGTTTCAAAAATCTGAAGTCTACGTACTTTTTAATCCGTTTTTACAAGGTATACATACAGTAATATTCATTTAAAACTCCTAAACCGGAACTGCTTTATAACACGCAGATCTAAAATCCCCAAACGATTCATTTTACTGGAAAAAATTTTTTAGCCGACCCAGCCTTTTACGGAAATGCTTGTGAACGAAAGTTTTATTTGAGCCAAACAACGGAAATGTGTTTTACCGGCACTAAAGTTGGTTCAAACGGTTACAACTTCACCAAGACCCCGTGGATTCATGATCAGGTTAGTTTTATGAGAAATCAACTACTGATGCCTTAGGTATCCAAATAGTGTGCCAAAAATAATATTTCCTTCACCTGACTCCTTAACAGGGGACATGATCATGCCGCCGACATGATCACGCCAGGCGATTTTAAAGTACACTCACCTGAAAAAGATTTTTTTCAAATGCTTCATAAGCAATAGTAATAAAATTACTTTCAGTTTGATGAAAACACCCTGAAAACGGCTATATTCTTGTTGAGTAAGGTTGCTCGACCGGACAATGCAACTTTGACCGATGATCGACAAAACATTGTTCGTGTTATACGGAAGTTGGCATATGCAGTAAGTTTAATCTGGTTTTACTTACTTTAAACATTTTGTTTTACAAACTATTACTGATAAACGTATTTAAAACTTCAAACTTTTATTCTATTACGGTTTGGATTAATTATGTCATAATGAGGTATTTCCTGGACGTTTTTCGGAAAAATAAATTTATTTTTTTGATGTAATGAACAATATCGTGTCAAATTGATGTGACTCTGAAGACCTTTAGCTATCTTTTGGATTTAAAAAAGGTAGAAAAACTATTTTTACGCTTTTTTTATGTTAATTGTAATGATTCGACTTACCAAATTAGGGTATTCTTAGTGTTTTCATTTGATTTAAATGCTTAATAAAGGGCTTTTTAAATTTATAACGTTGTAAAAAGTATTATAATATCCACATTGTATTCTTTACAGGTAAAACACCTATTTTTTGCCCTTGGAAACGAACCTGATCAATCAGGCTATATCTCCACGAAGCAGCTGATATTGAAGTTTTTGAACTCTCAACAATCTCTTCCTTCAAACGAAAGTTTGGTACAAGCAAATTTGTATGTGTCATTAGTCAGATCACTCGGAATTTGTGCTCGAATTGTCACTTGTATCGAGGCATGTTATGATGCAGATCCCAACTTGACTGTGGATCGGGCTTTCGTCCGAAACTCGAGCGATTTTGTGTTTGAACCGATGAAGAATAGTGCTGTAAGTCTTTTTGTTATTTGTTTTGCGATTTTAGGTTTTACAATAGGCAACTTGGTTGACACAAACTAGGTTTTACCGCAATTTATATCTAAAACAATATAATTTTGGTCCATGTTTTGGTAAAATAATAATTTTTTTTCTTGAAAAATAAATTTTTGTCCTGAAAAAATGATATCAATGTGAATGTTTCAGGGCCAGTTATGGGATTGTACACGTACTCAACAATTCTGGGTCGAATGTTATTGTTCTCGTACTGATCTTGGTGTTGGTTACGATGGGTGGCAGCTTTTAGATCCAACCGCACCCGATTCCCCGTTAACTGAACGTCAAGCTGGACCGGCTGCTTTGAAAAGTCTTCAGAATTCGAAGCTGGATCTTCCGTACGATGCGCGATTCTTTTGTGGAATATATCGAAGTAACAAGGTGCTATGGTTTTACGAGTACGACCATGAAATAGACGAATATAGATTGTTGCATGTTCGGTGTTGTAAGAAAAATGGAATGTAAGTGAACTTTTAAAGGTTTTATTGGCAGTAAAATTTGAAAAAAAAGGTTAGAAATAAGGTAAATTTTATTCTTGGGCTAACAGAATATCGTAAATTATAAAAATTGGTGTTTAAAATTTTAAAAATTCGTTTAAATCTAAAGGAAACTTATTAAAAACGTAATATAATCTAACGTAAATATCAAAGTTTATTCGTTATGCCATTTCAAAGCTTTATTTGACCGTGCTGGCCTTGGAATCCTTTGTTTCTTTGGCAAAAGTGTCAATCGTTTTTCCTTTCTTATCTTTTAGTTGATCGCTGGTATTGTCGCTACTTGATGGCTCTAACGAGGTGACTTTTCCTGGTTCCTTACTGCCAATTTGTTCTTGACTTCCAATTTGGTCCTTGCTTCCTAATGGTTCCTTACTTCCGCTTGGTCCTTTTCCTTTGGCAAACTGATTTGGAGACGGCTTTTTCTCTTCCCAGCGTTTGGCAACCGCACACACAAAAAATGGCAAAGAGAATTGTTCCAATGAATATTCCACTGAAATAATTTGTAGTTAAGCGGGTGAATAACAATTTTTTAAACTTTAGTCTATGCTATTTCCAACTTACATCACTTTGGCCAGTATATTCAGAGCATAAAAGTTCCAGTTGGTCTTAACAACTCTAACCTTGATCTTATCGTCATCACTGGACGAGTTGTCAGCGGTCAATCGTTGCAGCATTGGTGCATATGCCATACCATAGTATGGGTCGATGTATATCTTGTAAGCGCATCCGTCTTCAATGACAAAAGTGGTCGAAAGTCGGTCGTATTCGGTGCGTCGGTCGATGGCTGGAACGCAAGGGCATTTGCCTACCAGTTTTCCATCTGCAATGATGTAGCCTTTTTTGTAGAGTACTGTAATATGGGTTTTTCGGACGAAATTGAAGTGATCTGACGAGCCGGTTTTCACTGCAAATTCTATCTGCTTTTCGCCGCTTTCTCTGAAATGTAGGGTTGTTTAACATTTTACTGCTGAATTCTGTTATAAATAAGACCAAAAACGTCTGGGGGTGGAGACTCAAAAAAATTTTTTCTCGTTTACAGGTAGCTCCTGTGGACCGATTTTTCAAAAAATTTTTTTTGGATTTTTCACGTACAGGACCTGTGGAATTTTTTTTTCGGATCGGCTCTGGGAGGGGGTGGATGCCCCCCCCCCTAGCGACGCCTCTGGTAGCCAGCCGATTATTTCTATAGGAGATAGTGTTTTGCTTCAACCGGTCTGAGCAACCGTGTTTTGCCTAAACCGTTATAGGCAAAACGTTTGCCTAGAGAAATAGCCGGCTATACCTACGTTTTTGGCTAATAAATTCAAAATTAACCTACGATAACGGTGATAATTGCACTTCGAAGGCTTCACAAATGGAGAAATTGACTTTCAATCTGAAAAAAGCAGATTATTTTTCGTTTAAAAATTAGACATTGACTTAACTTCATGACAAACCTTTTCTTGTAACACTTTTATCCAATATACAGTGGAACTCTTGTATAACGAATTTTTCTATAACAAAATTTCCGTACAACGGGCAACTTTTAAATCTCCGAACGACTCTTTATACAGGAGTTCACTGTATTACAATAGAATAAACAAAAATGTCGAATGTCGTATTTTACTAAAAGTAAGTTTGGTTTACGATGTCCTTTAAAACTGGCTTGAGTCCCTTTTATAACACAAAAAATGACAAAGTTTCAAAGTAAACTGTAAGATGAATTAACTTACGTAGCTACGGTACAATTTTCATTTGGATAAATCGAGTACTGTATAAGGTGGTAGTTGGTATAGTCTCCGAATACGCGGTCGACAATCGTCATTTTTGAAATTTCGGTTAGACTGAAATGGCAAACTTTAATATTTTTGTATCTTTAGGGTCAAAAAGTCTGCAGAATCATCTTTTATTTTAGAAACGGGAAACTTTGGCTAAATTTTGAAATAATTAGGTGTTTAAATAGTTATGTGCCCTTTTAAAGCAATTTCTCGGAATTAGGGGCGCATAATTATTTGAACAACCTAATAAAATTAGTTATTATAACTTTAGTTGTATCGTGGTCAATGTTGAAAATAAACTATTTTAAAAAACTTACTATCCATCGATATATTGGCATAAAATGGCTGAAAAGATGACTTGAACGCTTTTTATCTTCATGATTCTTTGTTCAAAAATGAACTGTTTTAGAGTAAAAAAGTTTTTGAAATAATCGAATTTTGAAAAGTTTCGAAAATTGAAAAGAAATATTTTTAAAAAATAGACAAAAATGTAAGACATACTGTAAAAAATTTTAATTTTTTTGACAACAGGTGTTGGTACTACTGCTAAAAGTTAGTAAAACTTTAATAACAGGTTATAAATACATCATCTTATACTAAAAATCCATTTAAAAAATGTTTATTTTTCAGTTCAGCAAGAGCGATAATAACAGCTGATCCAAGATGCCCTTTGTATCCTATGGACATAACGGATAGCTATTACAGTAAAAGTACGAAGTTACAAGATCGAGAGCAAACCAAAGCTTTGAAAACTGCTGGAGCACTAGAAAGATTTCACAAGATACGACTATTATACGGCTCGAATGTCCTTCAAAACCCGGTCGATGTGGAGGTTAATGTTACTCCTATTGATGAGGTAGGTTATGGTAGAGATTTTACGATACTACAGCAGATATAGAATGAGTTTTACGGTATTATAGGATAAGTAACATAAATTACAAGGAAAATATTACAATATACATAGGATATTTGTATAAAACAAATGATGAAACAAAAGATAAATTGTGACAAATAGAAGAAATTGCAGTTTATATCGTTGTAGGTGATTATTGGCGACAATGTGATAGTAGAAATTGGATTTAAAAATAACACCCAAGTGTTTCGCACAGTAAAAGTGTCTGTCAGAGTTCATAACCGACATAAAAATGGCAAAATTGGTGTCCAAGTTAACAGCTACAAAGAGGTTTATGAACTGGATTCGGGAGAAGGTTAGTAGCTACTGAATAGTACTATCGTATATAGCTTCTTAAGTCCTTCTCTTGCTGTTTCTTATAACGGTAGTTTACGGTATATCTTCATAAACTGAAGATGTAACTAACTTGAAACCACATTTTAAGAGGAATCCCTCCGACTTCTGACCCCAGTAGCCGAATACATTCGAGCTTCAAATAACGATAGCCATGATTATGTAGCTGTTATATCGGGAATGGTCGAAGAAACTGGTCAAATCATTTTTCATGAAGAAGATTTTCATCTAACAACATCAGTTATTGGCATTGTAGCACCAGCGATAGCTACATACGGTGATAATGTTGTGGCATTGATTGCTATCGTGAATCCATTGCCAGAACCTCTAAAACAATGTCGACTTGAACTGGTCGCTGGTCATGATGCTGACAAGAAGATTGTGGTTGAGAGAATGCCAAGGTACAATACTTACTATAGATATATAGACAGAAATCTAAGGTACAAAACGACAATTATTTAAAGCCATAGGTGAGGACTATAAAATTTTGAAGTCCAAGGTATTAAAACCTACGTTTTAGTGAAATCGCTGCAGGGCAAAGAGTAAAGTTGCCAATTCGAGTCAGACTGTCTGGAATGTGTCTTCGGGTTCTTGTTGCCAAGCTATATTGTCAACCACTTGGCTATGCCACGGCTGTACATGTTTTGGAGGTTAAAGATGAATAACATCTTGATGTATCTACTTTTTCGAATAGTTTTTTCTTTTAAATAGTAAAATTAGTAAAAATTATTTATACATGTTTATAGGGTACCTAGTCTATTATAAATTTTTCAACTAGAATTATGTATAAAACGACTAATAGAGATGTTATTATATTACATATGATATTGCTGTCTATGATAATATAATATTATTCATTTTAATAATTCAATGTAATAATGCATTAAAATATGCACAAGATATAATAATGATTTTAGTTTTATAAAAACGCAAACCAGAAAATCTCAAAATAATAGCTTGGAAGATTACATATTTTGTGGAAAAATCAATGTCGATGACAGATTTTCTGGATTTCGCGGGTAATTTTTGTGAATTTCGCAAGTTTTTCCATCTTTTTTCGATGCGAAAAGTGACGAAACAGATTTTGAATATTGTTTTGATGAAAATTGTGGTATTTCAACAATTATCATCAATGTTTTATATTGGTTTTGGTAATTGGGCATGCTTTCCATGTTGCTTTAGCTCTCAAACCGTGTTAATTTGCGATATTTACCTTTTCAACCTATTTTTTGGTACGTAATTTTAGATTATTTGATGAAGAATGGAAAACTCAGTGATAACAGTGTGTGAGCATGTGGACAATGCGAAATTGGGCGTTTTTCAAGGAGCTCGATTTCGTTGGTAAGTTCTTTTACGTTTTTTTTAAATTTTAGGTAAACTTATATTACGCTTGGATGGATTTGTTTGAAGAAAATGGGTTTCCTTGCTGAAAAAGGTGAAATTTATGTTGAGAATTATGTTGGGGAGTTAAATCTGTTTGTTGGCGTACGATTTATTGGGGTTTTAGGGCAAGTTATTAATTTTTACCTGAAAAGCATAATATTTCAAGTAGTTGTCCAGTTAATGGGTAAAAATTTTTTAGCTGACCAAATGAGTAATAGTGTTGGAAGTACTGTTTAAAAACGGATTTATCTTTTAGTTTTGAAGAATTTCGGGCCAAATTCGTGGAATGGATGGCGATAACCCATCAACGGATGGCTATAAACAGTTCTCGTCAAATGGGTGTCAAATATGGAATTGCGGCACGAGAACAGTTTAAATTTCGAAGTCTGTACTTCCGCTGTTTTCGTCATGGACCAGGACGTCGGGCAGAGGCAAAGCAGCCGAATCGAGAGAAGAATGCGCGAGACTGTGGTGCCTATATGAGAGTAATCTTTGATTCGACGACAAATGAGCTGGTGATCAGTACGTGTCACTTGAAACACAGATTTCATACGCCGTGTCGTGAGGACACCGTGAAGATGGTTGGACGAAGAAGTCAGTGGTTTGAGTGGGGTAAGTTTTTGGTTTTTTGTTTGGTATATAAAGAAAGTAAGGGAATTTTTTGGTTTTTCAATGAAAAAAGTCGTATCAAGATTGAAAGTAAAAGTTTTCTTAAAATTTTTTTGGTATTGTAAATGAATGATAATTTGATTTACATATTTTGTGACTTTATGGTCGATTTTTATTAAAATAGCATTTTCAGTCGAAGAACTAGCTCCATCTATTGGTCAAGAAGTTCCAGTGTTCTCATACAGTAAAGAAGTGTACACATCCGAGGACCTATTCGAATCTCTTCAACACCTACATCAAATCGAGCCAACTCAACACTTAAAGCCAAAGAAGTTGACTACTATTACTAAACGGAAAGGAAGATCAAAGAAGCGACAACAGTCAAAGACACCGCCAGTTTCGGACACGGATTTGGAGCTGTTTACAAGTGCCATTGTCATGTTGAAGGGTCAGCCAGTGGAGAAGGGTCAATTGACCAGAGAAAGTGAAATGAAATTGAAGAAGTTGTTGGCCGAACTAGAAGGAGAGCGGAATGATGAGTACATTGATGTTATTGGTTGAATTTGTTTTGACTGTATAAGGGTGGATGTTGTTTTGGGGATAAATAGCTAAAGAAACTTTGAGATTTCAAAAGAACTTTTTATGTTATAGTACAGCTAATTTATTAGAATTTTTTCGTTTTCGTGGGTTTTAATTGTCATAGTAGATCATTATTTCTAATTTTATAAATTCTGGTTTTTTAAAGGACGCATAGTTAAAAGTATTGTTTAACTAGGCTCTTGTCTTATATCATTGTACTTTTGTTATCACATCAATATATGTATGTAATGAAGGTACTGTTGTGTTTTTTATGTTTATGTTAGTTGATAATGGTCTCCAGAAACTTGTATGATTCGTCTTTCATTATCTTGGGCTTATCTTTTTTCTTATTCCTTCCATTTTTATTGTTTTTTATATGAAAATTTAAATATTTCTTTTGTTATTTCATCTTGAAATTGTTGATGTTTCAAGATAAACTTTTTTTTAGCTAAACTCTTTGGACTGCTCTTTTGAAAAACTCTTGAGGCATTAAAGACCTCTAAGCCTTGTCTATCTTTTGAAGACATATATTTTTCTACTCATTCAAAATTCGAATGTTAGAAAGCGTAGTTCAATAAGACTTTGATAATCTTGGAAGCGTAAGCTTTGTAGAGAAATTATATTATACTCGCATTGTTTAATGCATTCGTATTCGTTTCTTAAAGGTGTTTCTGTTATATTCTTATACGCGCTCTATATGGTCTTACAACGAAGTCGACTTAATGTAGTTGTTAATGAAGAGCGTCGCGTCGACCTCCGGCTTGGTAAGTGTACATACCGAGCGAAGACGAAAAGTATCATTCGTATTTCTGATAGACTTGAAGTTCAGTTGGTAAGTTAATTTATTTATTTGTTTAAATTGTTTTTAAGCTAACTAGACTTTTTAATTGTTAATGTATTCGTCTTTTTAAAAAAATTTATATTTCTTGACAAAGCGCTAAAAGGATAAGCAACTAATATAGTAGGTGGATGTTTTGTGTTGGCTATAACGGCTGATGGTCTGTAAGTGCCGAAGAATTTAATAAAGGTTTTCTACGTATTTTGATACTATTAACGATCCCCGTTATAATTAACTCTGTTTAATTTATAATAGTTCTCTTCAGTTGCAGTATCGTCAGTTCTCTTTAAAAAATCAATAAAGCGAACTCTCGTTATACGAAACGCAAAATATCTACCTGATATTAGAAAAAAATTTTTACAAGATATTGAATTATTAAATTTAAGTTTAGTTCGCTGAATTTGCACTGATTTCGTAGTTTATCTTTAATGTCACACTAATTTTTGTAATAGAACAAGTCTATACGATTATATAAGAAGGTTCAAAAATGAAAAATCTTAATGTTGTAATGCAAAACGGCTGTCTACTTTAAAATATTACTTACTGACTTGTATCGTGTAAAGACTTTTATCGATTACAGATATTATACTCAAAAAAATGGACGCCGTATTCGTCACCGCTTTGGCCAAGTATTTTAGAAATTTTGAGGGACTCGACTTGGCATGGAATCACAACAAGACCATGCTCGTCACGGTGGAGGCGGAGCTCAGCGATGAAGAGGCAATGGAGTTGGAATCGGGCTACCCAGAGTCCGACTGTTCCAGTAATTGGTACAGTCCCAGGAGCATAGACTCAACATGTAGCCAGGTCGGCACGCCATGCAGTGCTGTAACGACGGGCATGTCTATGTCTCCTTTTGAGACTACTAGCCAGTCGCCATGTGTTTTCGGCATTGGTGGTACTTCACCATGCAAAAATGAGGCCGGCTGGAGCTCTTTCTTCAGCAACGAAGTTGATGGCAACTTGTGGTGTAGCAGTGACGATGGCAATAAGACACCAAAGGCACGGTCGACTAAGTCGTCGGTTTCTGAAGAAGATTTGGAGCTGTTCGTCAGCGCCATTAAGATGATGAAGGCTATCAACGTTGCGAAGCCAGAACAGCAGGAAGAAGAGATGGAAGGAGAGTTAGATGAATGTTAGTGGAAGCAAAGTAATTGATTATGTTGGTTTAATTGTACATTGTTAGTTGGTTTTCTTAGTTAAGGCATTAAAAAAAGCAGTTTGCTTTTATGCGCATAGTTTTAATAAATTTTTATTTAGTACATTGAGTTGGAATTTGAACGTGAATACTTTAATTTGATTAAACTTAGAAAAGACTATAAGTCAGTAACTTTTATTAGTACGCCGAATTGTGTGATACATAATTACATTGTCTAAGCTATAGTATGTTCCAGTATAACTATAATTTAGTACATTCCGTAAAGGTTAGAAGTTTTTTCATTCAGTTCTCCATTGTGTAGCTGTTGTTCAACTACAGCAATTTGTACGGTAGCTTCTAAGATTCGTCGTTCCATCTTTGTAATTGCTGATTGGATTTTGATCAATGAAGCCCCATTTAGGTTTTCAGCTCCTTGTCGCTCGATTTGTTGTTTTAGTTGGTCGATTTCGTCCCCAATTTGTTGTAGGGTTTGTTGTCGTTGATCTAGGCCTACGCTGGCTTCTCTGGAATGAAATTGTGTGGCAAGGTTTTGAAAAGTGAAATGGCAAGAATTTGTTTTCAACAACTTAAGATGGTAATAAATAAAAAATGACAAAAACTTTCTTGGTAATAAAAAAAATGACAAAAACTTTCTTTACAACACAAAAAATGGCAAGAAATTTCTTTACAATCCACTTACTTGTACTTTTCCATATTCTCAACGTAAGAATTCCTTGCCACTCTGTACTCCTGTAGTACATTGTGTAATTGCTCATTCAGGTGTTTTTCTCTTGAGTTTATCTTGTCCACGTTTTGTTTCAAATCTCCGGAAAGTTGGGCCAAAAACGGTCGAATACTTTCGTAATATGAGTTGAGATTCTTTTGAAGTTGTGACAGTTGTTCTGAATGCATTTTCCAATGCTTATCAGTAGCACGTACAGTGACACGTAGTTGAGGAAGCACACGATCCAACTCGGTTTTAATCGCGTCTGATGTTGTGGTACTGTGGAGGATTTGTTGTAGGGGTTCTTGGGTCTGAATATTTTTTTATTATAGAGTTGTCAAATATCTCACAAATTGTGAGATATTAGAGTTAAAATATACTTTATTACTTTACTACTTTAATTTAGACTTTACTATTTTGATTAAAACACTTTTAAACTGTAATTTAAACCTTTACTTATTATCCTTTCGGAGAAAAAGATCGCGCAGCCCGCACTGATCAGGGCGCGAACCGACGCAAAAAAGCGTTCTCTTTTCTCGTTCGATTTGGCTTTTTTCGCGGCCGAAACCTGAGGCAATGGTTTTGTCATTGTCTTTGGGTTGAAAATTCAGTTGTGTGGACTGACAACGAGGAGAGAGGTCGACGTGCACTCAAGAAGAGGTCGACCAACTGATCCAGCAAGCCAACAACACGACGACGACGATCACAGACCCAGACGACCCGCACACCCACCGACCCCACACCCTGGACCCACGACGACGACGATCACAGACCCAGACGACCCACACACCACACTGACACCGTGACCGATACAGGAAATTACGTTAGTTTATCATTTTGTTATTATTGTTCTTGAATTTTAGGTAGGAAAGATAACGATTGGTAGGACGTTATTGTATCATTTCAGTAGAGTATTTAGAGTAGGCCCTTAGAAGCAGTATTTTAGTAACGATTTGTTTGTATGTTGTTATAGTATCGTTTAGAAGTATTTAGAGTAGATTTCATTTTGTAGCAAGTTATTGTATCTTTTGAGTAGAGTATTTTAGAGTAGATCTTGGTTTGTAGCAAGTTATTGTACCTTTGAGCCGAATAGTTAGGTTTTTATTCAATTTTGTATCTGTTTGTTCAATCTATATTTATTGTCAATTTATCCTATCGTTGTTTAATTGATTACTATTTATCCCAAATTTGTTGTAATTTTTGAAACAGTAAAATTTTATAAAGTATCAAACTGTTGGAATTTTGAACTCGAAAATGGAGGTTAAACCCCTTTTCGAACAGAGTATTATAGGATAGAACGGCAGGTTTGTTTCCTTACTCTAGCCTTACATACCTTACATTCTCCCCTTATCTTAGTCTACCCTATCTCAAGGTAAGAAACGGGCCGGCCTTGAGCTAAAGTTGGGCCCGGCCCGCTTCTGACCCCTGCCCCTATCCTCACCTACATTACCATACTCTTTCTACCGTAGCTGCCATATCTATCCTAGTTTTAGATTCAGCATTGTCTTAATGATGGCTACGGTGAAAAAAAGTTGTTGTATAGTAACCTACGTTGAACATTTCTTCTTGTATGTCTAAAGGTCGTTGTTCAGTTATTTCAGCAACGTCATCTTCGTCTTCAGCTATTCCAAGGCTTTCTTCGTCTGTCTGAAAAACTATTCAAGGTTAGAGTCAAAAGTAAGTATTATAGTAATTTTACACTCTGTAAATAAATTTTTTGTTGTCATTGTCCTGTAAAGAAAGTTTTTGTCATTTTACTTTTTTTAAAGAACGGTCTTGTTTTGTAAACAAAGTTCCTGCTATTTCAATATAAAAAAGTAAAAATAATCGTGTGCAGCCTGCAGGTGACAATTTATACGATGACTGACAATTTTTTGTTTTGAAAGCTTTTGCCAATTAATGCTATAGAGAGAAAGTTCTAACCATTTTTTAGTCTTGTAATCGAATTTATGCTCTTTCTTATATAACATCTTACCTCTGACTGAACTTCTTCATCTCGTTGTTGATCTGCTTCTTCGTTTTCGTCCTGTGTTTCTATTGGTATCATTCTGAAAATTCAATTAGTTCTTTTATTATTATTTTGTGGTTTGTATAAACTCTCGTATCCATACCGTTCGAACTGAAATGAATTGGCAATAAGAGCAGCCTCAGTGACGGCCAGTAACACCTCCACACATTGTCGACCACTGCCGTTTTTCAACTTTTGTGTCGCATAATTCCCCTCAATTCCTTTTGCTCTCAACGCTTCTAATACCATATTCACTATCATGTTAGGATCATCGTTAAAACTAGGGATATTAACATCCTTCCACTGGGCTTTGCGCATTAGCCATGCAATCAACTCGGTGAACATGAAAAACTGCTCTCCTGAGTTTGTGGATTGAGCAAAGTAGTGTCTAAATGGAATTTTATGAGCTTGTTGAATATATTTTTGAATTTTAAAAAATATTTTTGAAATTTTAAGTTTTGGTCAATTTATAGTAAACATATACCTATGTCTATTTATACGATAGATTGCTTACCGTGGAATAATCTTGAATCCATCAACTTTCGGCAAAAGCTCTTTTTCATACTCCAAAAGCTTCAGTTTGTCCACGAGATCCTCACATAGAGAGTAGACTTCGTACGCAGCTCCAGGACGTTGCTCACTCATACCTATTACAATATCGAAAGAATAATCAACATAAAATATTTAAAAATAATGTAAAAATTAAAAAGAATGGTTCAAAATAGGTGTAGAAACCTTGTTTTTCAAAAAGAAATAACAATTTTAAAATTTTTGAATTTGGTTGCCATAACAACAGTGAAAATGGCATATGATGTTATGTACAGCGCGCGTTTAGGGAAATTCAAAATTTTAAAAGGTAAGAGCTATTTACATCAGATTTTAGATATTGTAGTAGAATACTAAATCATATTCTTTTAAAAGTTAAAAACTTACTTAAAAAATTTAAGAAACGGCCAAATCAACTTCAAGACAATATAATATGTAAAAGCTGACTAAGCAAATCATTATATATTAAAAAATAATAAAAATCAAGCTAAATTTTCCTTTTTGATCGTGTATTTTCATTGGTACACATGGGTTTACAAATAACATTTGTTTTCACAGTCAAAACAACTGCTTCGCTTTTCGCAGCTCGCGCGCTCCAAGTTATACGATGAACGGGAAAATAATGTTTCTCGAGGAAAAATTCCTGAAATCCCGCTCGTTTAATCAAATCTTTGAACAAAGTATTGATAAATACATTGTCTTTTCTTCACTTTATTTTCTTTTACTAGTTTTTCAACTATTTTTTTGTAAAATACGGGCTTTTTGAAAAGACGATTCAATTTTTGGGCGAAAAATAGTATCCTTTTCTATATTATCGTTTTTATGTCTTTCAAACTAGTGTTTTTAGTTTAAAGATAGTGCTGTTGCACTGCTTATACTATGGTAATAATGATTTATACGTGTTGTTTCAGATTTGTCTTTACATTTTGTTTATATTAATATTGAGTTAATTTCAGGTAACACCAATGTTTGCACTGGAATAGTTGGGCACATTTGATGGAACTTAATGGCAAGATGACTTGCGTGCTCGTATATTGACTAACCTGTAAGTTTTTAAATATTTTTGTTGGTTTTTAGATTTAAATGGGAGTCGCATATTATACTTAAGTTAGACTCGTCAAGTTTATGGCCAAAACTTGAATTTACTGAGGAAATATGGGACATACGCGACGGCATTTATGTATATTATAAAAGCTTGCGCTATGTTTTCTGCATATTATGATAGAAGATTTTTTGAAAAATATGAAAAAAGACACCACTGGCAAAGTACTGACAAGGTCTCACAAAATTATTTTTGTAAAGAAAGTTCTTGCAGGGCATTAAAAGTTGTGTATTCCATTTTTTCTTGTCTTTTATTTTGACAGCAATTAACTTCAAAATTAATAACCTGTGATATTGGTTGAAATTAAACTTTTTGATGGCAACAACATTCTACAACAATAAGAATCCAAATTTATAACAAAACTTCAAAGAATCAAAGTCCTTTGGCATGATCAATCAAAGCCCTAGTCAAGTTGTTTATTGCTACAATTACAATAGAGTCAATCTTATTTTCCTTTATCGTCTATCGAAGGCGGTGCATTCGGGTCGCATTTGATGGACTGGACGTTCTTTAGCGTTTCGTCGTACGAGCTTTCGCTGGGGTCGTCCGAATTTTGCTGAAATTTTAAATTTTTTGAAATTTTGAATTTAAAAAAAAATTTATTTGAAAAATTAGGGAGGGGGTAAAAAAATGTTATGTTGTAATTATTTAACAAGGAAGACCCTAGTCAACTCAATTTTTTTAAACAAATTTTTTTGCCCTCCTCTCCCTAAAAAATCTCATTTCAAACAAAACCTTACTTTTACCAACTTGACGTCGTCAATCTGACTCTTCGTCTTGGTCTTCTCCTTGGCCTTCTTATTGTTCTGTTTCTGTGATTCCTTCACTTCCTCTCCGCTCTTCTTCTTCTCATTGTTCTCCTTCTTATCACGTTGAGACGGTTTCTTCTCATGACTATTCATTGTTATCCTCGTTTCATCGTTCGACGTGCTGTTTTTGCCTTTGGTTTCGGTCGTTGTCTGTTTAACAGTAGACTTCTGAGGAGGCGGCGGATTATTATCAGTGGATGTGGAGGTGGGCGTGGCTTCGGCCGACGGATTGGGCGGATTTTGGGGATTCATTTTGGGTTTTTCTGGCTAAAATTTGAGAAAAATTCATTAAAATTTTTTTTTAATTTAAAAAATTTTAAAGTCAGAAGCAATCTTTTTCTAGCCTTTTCAAGCTATCTGCAGCACTATAAACCTCCAAAAAGCACGTATAATAAAAAAAAGGCAAACCTACCGCAGCACCCGAAGACGGTTCCGCTGCCTTTTTCTTGGCCTTGGGCGCCGGCTTTTGTTTAGCACAATTCGTACAAACGGCAAAAGTAATTCCGATCCAAAACACTTGAAAACATAAAGGTAACAATACGTTGATCATGCTGCACACACAACCACACTGGGCTACTGGTATAATGGTGAAATGAAGTTTGAACCCCGATTTCTAGAAATTAAAACTTTCTTGAAAATTTTGTAGGAAATTTTTTTATTGTTTATAAAATTTAAAGTTGTGGATATGTAGTTATGTAGTTTTACACCCTTGAGTATAGTTAGATAATATTTTTGTCTTGGACATCTTCTAGCGTATAAAATTCGCGCGCAACTCGAAGCTTGCGGGCGCAGACGTTTGCGCTCGAAGTTTCTTTTTGCTTCAAGTTGCTTTTGATTACCTTTCCCCTGGTCTTCTCTGACCCCTTCGATTGAAATTGGATGAAAAAATTAAAAAATGTCATTTTTATGTTGAATATGAGTAACTTTTTGTGAATAATTATGATTTTCATGAGTCTTATGTTGTTTTCAAGGTTAATGTTATGTTTTCGACGTTATGTTGCGCGAGATTGAAGAAGTAGATCATGTTTATTATAATGTTTTCATATGTTTTAATGTTTCAAAGTAAAGATCGACTTGAATTATATACGATTTTGAAGTTATGACCAAAAGAACATCTTCACGTAGCTGTCTCGAGGGACTCTGGACAAAAACAGACTGAACGGACTAGATGTTAGCATGATTCTAGTGTAATACTCAGGACCAGATAGAGGACAAGTTGTTTCACATGTAAGTTGTGTTGTTTTCTTTTTTTATTCTGTTTTTAGGAAAATTTTGGAGGAGTTTTAAAAGGTATGAGCTTGTTGGAATGCTGGCCGAAAATCGGGCCAGGTGTCGACGTGAATTAGATGTGATACGATTATTAGAAGCAGGGGAAGTTGTTTCACATGTAAGTATTATTCTTGCTTTGTTTTTTTCTGATTTTAGGAGAGTTTAGAGGGTTTTCCTCTGATATTAAGGTCAATGTGTTGTGTAATATGCTTTTGGTGATTTTATAATTTTCAGGTATTGTGGATGGCCAATCTTTTGGGGAGCGATGTAAGTCTTCATGAACGATGTCGTGGACGATAAATTAAGATATGGCGAGCACTTCAGATTCGATCTTTGGAGCCTTTTAGTTGGCGAAAAGTGGATGAACGAATAATGGACATGAGTTGGATTCTATGGCTGATGTAAGTTAATTTTCTTGTTGATATTATTTTTACTAATCTGTGGAAGCTAATCCAAGACTATATTTTACCAATAGGACATAAAATTGTAGACTTTTGGCTGCATTTACCTACGAACAGTTGATGTCTTGAATAATATGACAATTTTGGGGATAAAAGTTTGTTATTTGAAACTAGATGAGTTCTAGACAATTTCTGTTGTTGTTGGCAAGTTTTATAAAAGCTTTATGTTAATTTGTTTCCATTTCTTGTTATATGAAATTGTAATGAGTATGAAATTAGATGTGTTACGGATAACATAAGTTTTGGTTGAACATGACAATTTTTGATGTTCTTTTGAAATTTTTATATTTGTATGAGGTGCGCGAATGTTTTAGAAGTTTCCTTTGATCTGGTGGAACGTCCCAAGAAGCTCAAACATCGACCAATTTGTAGTTGGACCACAGATAGCTTGGACAAGCCATAAACAATATCAGACACAGGACTAGAATGGCATCTGAAGTCAGACGTATCAGTCCGTAATCTAAAGGGCATGAAGAAAGAAAGATAACCTATTATAATGTTTGTACTATTTATCGTATTTTGCGCGTTATTACCTATTTGTCGCGTTTTTGAATGTGTTTCGGTACCGTGCAGAATTTTTCTCGTTCCCTTTCAACTTGTTTTTTTTATTTCTGATTTTATTGTGCGTGTTGTGTCATTATTTACCGCGTTGTTTGGTGGGTATCTGTACCGTGCTGTCTTCTGATGGCTTCGGTTCCTAGCTAGGTTAGGAGGAGGTCCAAGAGCAAGTTTGGGCTGGCAGGGTCTGATGAAAAGTACAGATGGTCATCATTACTTTGAAATTTTAGAAGTTTTGACTTGACAAAAATGTTTTGTTTCTGGCGAAACTAAATTTTCGAGTTTTGTTAAATTCGAATTTCAAGATGGTAAAAAATGTTTTTGGATTCTGAGAACCTCGCTTTCAATTGATTAATTTTTCGTCTCCAAAATGGTAGTAAGGTAGCTAGGTGCACCTTGGATGTTGTCTTAACTGTTCGCGAAGTCTGAGAAGTCAGGAGGTAGCCCGGTTGTCAAGGACTTCACCTTGGGGAAGGAGGCACCCCATCTCCTTCCCCACTTGGAGGGGGGACTTCATCACCCCGCCCTCCAAGGAAAATTAAGGGGGAGGTTATTCGAATAAACAATACGCAGGCATACTTGGAATTTATTTTTATTCCGATTCTGAACTTGGACGTGCTCGCCGGGTCTTCATTTGTTGCTAAGCACGTCGTCCCTGAGGATATACAGCTCACTCCAAAAGATTGTACACCCACAATCTCTGAAAATTATAAAATCACCAAAAGAATATTACACATCACGTTGACCTCAATCAATATCAAATGAAAACCCTCTAAACTCACCTAAAATTAAAGAAAAACGAAGAATAGTAATTACATGTAAAACAACTTGTCCTGCTTCAAATCAATCGTATCACATCAAATTCACATCGAAATCTGGCCTGCTCTGTCCATTTTCGTCTACCATCCTTTCAAAATTAGCCTAAAAACAGAAGAAATAAAGAAAATAACAAAACTTACATGTGAAACAACTTGTCCTCCATCTGATCCTGTGTATTACACAAGAATCATGCTAAAATCTGGTCCGCTCTGTCTATTTTTGTCCAGAGTCCCTCGAGCCAGCTATGTGAATGCTCTTCTGGCCATAACTTCAAGCTCATCCATTTCTAAAGCATCAGCTTTACTCTGAAACAACGAAAAAGTATAAAAAATCATAATAAGCATAATTCTTCACACCCTCAAACATCCAACTTCGCGCAATATAACATTAAAAACATAATATTAACCTTGGAAACAACATAATACTCCCACAAATCACAATTATTCCCAAGAAGTTAGTCAGGTTACACATAAAAAATTATATTTTCAAGCTTTTCCAGCTAATTTCAATCCAAGGATTCAAAGAACAACAGAGGAAAGGTAATTAATTTACATATAAAAACATTAAAAACATCTTTTAGTCCTTTTTCACAACAAAAAACAAGTATTAATTCCATTTTTGAATATTTTAAACGTAAAAGTCCATCTTTCTAAATTTGAATAATTTATTTGCTAGGGGTTGATCATGCTGTTCGATTATATCACAAGTCGTAGTAAGTGGTGGATAAGATAAAAAAGAAAATAACTGAACGTAAGACCCATATAAGACAATATTATAGGCTAATGTACAAGATTACATGTAAGATGTCAAAAGAACCCTAAAAATCGGTTTTAAATTTCGAAAAATCAAAAAAATCGGCCAAAAATTGGCTAAACGGGCCAAAATTGATCGAAAACATGACAAAACTTAATAAAATCAGACAGTAATATGACCGTATTGCCACAATTGATTTAGAAAATCAAAGAAAATATAAAAATCCATAATATAGATCAAAAATAAAAAACTTTTATCAAACAGACAAAATCCAACAAGAAATGACAGTCTTTCGACTTTAAAGCCGTTTTCACCGATCGTTTATACCGATACAACATAGTATTTCATCAACGTAGCATAGTAGGATCATTAACAAGAACGTACTATGAAGATATCATGATATATTACCATTACACATAGTATTTTACCAAGATAAGACCTATATCTTAGCAATCGTACAATACAGTACTATCCCAATACAATATAATATTTTACCGCGACATATAATAGTAATTACAGAGTTATAAAATAAGAGTAACAACGTATTCGACCAACAATATATACTCGTTTTCGTATTGACAGATTGATTGATTCTAGAGTTGCCAATGGTCGGCAAAGTCCACATGAAGGGCGGTTTCGAGTCGCTGAAGGGCCGAGTTGAAGGTGAGGCTTCCGTTTAGGTAATTGGCGTCTCGCATCTCGGTCTCCTGGAAATAGTAAAGTTAATATCATTGACAATGTAAATAGCAAAGTTAATATCATTGACAATTCAAATATCAAAGTAATATCATTGAAAATGCCACAAAATTTCAAAAATTAAATAATTTTTTTTAAATTCAAAAAAACTTAAAAATTACCTGAAAACTGCCGCCCAAGTTCGAGATCCTTGTTTTATGTTGGAAGGCGAGTGCGTGGAAGAAGGGCTGAAGCTCTTGGACTGCCGTCAGAGTTTTGACCGAACATAGAGAAGCCGACCTCATTTCCTTGTCACGATCGCTCAGGGCTCCAAACTGAAAATAAGAATATTAAAACTCTACTACCTCTACTATTGTTTTAAATAAAAAATTTCAAGTTTTATAAAATTTTTTGAAATTTATTTCAAAATTTTAAAAATATTTAAAAAGTACACCTTTCATCGTATAACATGTCTTTTAATATCTTACAGTGAAAGTGCGCGATCCGTCCAGAATCAGCTCAATGTTTTTTTTATGAATTTTAGTTACACAGGAGTATTTTCTGTACCCCTTCGATCGTATAACCCTACCTTCTTCTCCATTAACTGATCCAGTCGTGTCGCAAATGGTACAAACCCTTCATGTTGAGGGTCTGGCGTGATTGGTGAGACAAAAGCCCAATTGAAGAGTTGGAATTGAGGAATGTAGCCCGAGGGCAGAGTGCACAGTGCTTCCAAGAATTTGCACGATGATAAGAACAACTGTAGCAGATTCTCGTCTTTCGGGGATCGTAGCTCATCCAATGTGGATTGGAAAATGTGCGTTTCGAGTTGGCTTAGGACTTGAACAACTTCTGTCACCATGGATGGCCAAATTGAAGACAGATTCCCTGGTCGTACTCGAAGTAGTAGTACTCGATAGCACACGAATACTTGAGAGTGCACGACTGGTACACTGCTTTGCCGGAGGTTGTCGGTTAGACGTTCTGAAAACAGTTTATTGAGTATCCGACAAATAAAGTTTAGTTTTTTTTAAAAAAGCGACATGTTATACGGTGAAACATGTTCCATCGTATAACTTGTCTTTCTAGACCAAAAATAGAATTTTTTAAATTCCAAACAAGTTTAGAATACTTCAAATAACTTAAAATCATGTTATCAATAGTAAAAAATCAACTTTTCAAGTAAAGTGACATGTTATACAATAAAACATGTTTCATCGTATAACTTGTCTCTCCCTAACACAATATCACTTTCTTATCATCCTAAATCTTTTCCAAAACAAAACTAAGCCCTTTCAATGAGTAATGCATGTCGTTTCCTAAACTCACCTTGAATCTCCGGTAAATTGGAGCAATATTGATCAGTTTGACTGGACAATATGACAAAAGCCAGTCGTTTCAACGCCTGCGCTCTCATTTCGTTCTCTTGATCTTTGTTCGTCATGAAATTCGAAATGGCCGTTGTATTGCCACTGGGGATTCGTTGTAGCAGCTCTTTGAATGAGGTTTTGTCATTTGTCATCAGATTGTCGATGACAATCAACCACTGCTTCAGGGCCTTGTTGTCCATCTTGAAGAAGTTGGAGTCGAGGAGAAGGTCCATCGCCGCCTTCTTCCACACCGACCGCATGTAGTTGAAGCTGGAGAGGCTGGCCAAGAACATTGAGCTGGCTAGGAAGAAGCGAACGTTTCGCGCGGACTTGGCTTTCAGGTAGGGTAGGGTGTTGTTCCAGACGGCCTGGACGGTCGGGATCAGCTTATCTTTGTCCTCGCTGCGACAAATCGAGTCGATCAGTTCGGCTAGGTTCTGAAAGTACAAGTCCCTTAAAAATTTTTTTGCAGAAAAACACCCCTTAAGAAAAATTTTCCAAAAAACACCCCCTATACAAATTTCCAAAAAAGCAACCCCTAAGCATAAATTCCCTTCAAAACCCACCTCAGCCAACAAGAAGAGTGCCTGTGTACTGTTGGTGGGGTCCTTTTTGTTGTTGTTTCCATCCTTCAGTGACGACCTTATCAACGAGCTCGATGACTTTTTGGATTCGAATGTCATCGTTGAGAGCTGAGCAACAGATCCAGCCAATTGAGAATTAGAGTCGATTGAAGGCTGATTTGATTGTCTTGGGGCTAGTGAGTTGGTTGAGCCTTTGATCGAGTTGTTCTCCGACATTGAGCCAGTGTTCTTGAACTCGAGGGTTGGGGAAACATCTGATAGCTTTTGGTCTAAAATAAAATAAGTTTTAAGTATGCTATCAGCCCAAAACAATTAAAAAAGTCACAAAAATCAAATATAATAAGAACTTTAGGCAAAATATGGAGCTGAGATACTAAGAAAAAGTCAAAAAATCACCATTTTAACCTAAAACAAGGTAAATTTTTTTTGTTTTCTTTGCCTAAAAATTGCAAAAAATAACATTTTTAATAATAAACAAGCCCAATTTTAACTGAGACATGCACATAATAAAGAAAAAAATCTATAAATTATAATTTTAATCTATAAAAAGGTGAGACTTTTCATATTCATTACCTAAAAAATCAAATCTCTATCTAAAATAAGGTCAATTCTCAGTAAAATATGGTCGGAAAAGAAACAAGAAAACCTTAAAAGTCAAAAAACATCATGTCAAATCTAATCACTATTACCTAAAAAACAAAAAATGTACCTAAAAAAGCGTAAAAACTCAAAATTTATACCTAAAAACAAAACAGTTTGGCTTTATAACCCAAAAAATATCTGATATACGTAAAACAAGATCAATTTCGAACAAATATTACCTAAAACAACATAAAATCTTTGAGGTAACTAAAATACAAGATTTTACATTAAAAAATCTGTCAAACATTACTAAATAGCCCTAGTAATGTTTAACAAGACCTTTTCAACTTAACCTATGACAAATTACATCCCAAAATGTATAAAAACTATGACAAAACTTACTAGAAGTGTCTTGTTTCACGACCAATGTCCTCTTCAGCCAAGTGGTCGATTCCAATTGCCAACCCACGATCAAATTCAATGCTTCGATTATTCGTTGACAGGCTTCTTGACATCCTCTGCTTATCGACCGGTCTTCGATGACGACTTGAGATCCACACAACTTTACAAAATCGCTCAGGATTCTGAAAGAATGTAATGTTAACTTAGCCTTCATCAAGAAACTGATATTAAAAAAAAGATTTTGAGGTCAAAAAGTCTATAGAACAGCTTTTTTACCTTAAAACTAACGCTTTTTACTCAATTTTTCTATAAACTTTTTAACCTTACAAGTAGTAGTGCTCATTTTTAGGTATCAAAGTGTTACTTTCAAGCTATATCTTGGTCAAAAAGTTCACAGAAATGTCTTTTCTGTTGTATATAAACATGCTTTCTTGCATTGTCTTTGCCATACACTATTTTTTAAATTATATTATCCTTTCTTTTGCCTATATATTATTTCTTCTTCTATGTTTGACCCGATACCTTTTGAAAACACAAGCCAAATGTAAAACCAAAAAAAAAAGCAAAAACTAAATGTCGCGCGTTGTATATCAAAACTATTATGTTATAAACGATTTTTCTCATTTTAACAGCTCTTATCCATCATTTACGACTCGTACCTTCACCTTAACATCGTCTAGTAAGTTTTTAAACATTTTCACACTTTTTATGCAGTTAAACTCCTGTTCAACAAATTGTCCGAGAATTTAAAATTTGTTCGTTATGAAGGAGTTTCGGTATAGAGGAGGGAAGCCACTGTGTTGTGTCAGTTAGAAAATAAAATTATACTGTTTATACATAAATTTCGATATATGGCAATTCGTTATACATTTCAACTATTTTTTTTATTTAGTCTTTAGTTTTAAAAACTCCTCTATATCTAAAATAATTTATAACAAACAAGTTTGAAATCCCGGAACACTTCGTTAGAGCGTTCCACTGTACGTACAGTGGTCTCTCTATATAGTGAACCATCTGTATAAGCAACTCTCGTCATAGTAAACAAGAAATTTGTTTATAATAAATACCTAATGTCTTCTAAGTGCCGTATTTTACATTTTCTCAATATGCTGTTCCAGTTAAAGAATGAACCCCGACACCGTGTTCCAAGATGCTTTAATCAAATACTTCTACCAGGTCCACAACACTAAATTAATGTTGGACGAAGATGGAAACTTAGTCAGAGACAAGAAGAGTGTCAAGAGCCCCAAAGAAGCTCAACACTACAATAGTCCTACCGATCGGAAAAAGTAAATCGATGATCATCACTTTGCTTCTTTAAATTATTTGATGTGCTTGAATCGTTTTTACAAGATTTTTAATTCATATATACTATTATTTGTATCATATAATCCATTTGTAATTCAAAAAATCCAATTTCAAACCAATAACTACCTAAACATTGCTCAAACTTCAAGAAAACTTACGTAAAGATCAAGAAAACGCCTCTCGGACTCATATTGATCGGATTCGTTTCATTAAAAAGTACATTTAAAGCGGCCCAAGTCTGTCTCAGCTCACTCGTCGCAATGATATTCATCGTGCAGTGGAGTAGCTCCAACAATGGTACTTCATTCGGGTTTGTAGCCACCGTTTTCTCCTGATTCTTTGATGTTATAGTAGTTGTTGTGTTCGACGTTGATGGGGTTTTACCGGCCGTATCCTTCAGCAAATCCAGTGTTGAGTTGACCATTTCAGCAAAAGAGAATACCTTCAACATCAGCTCAGACAACGACTTCTGATGATGGGTGTAGTCGAAGCTAGGGTGATCTTGAGCCTTTTTCATTGATAAGGGGATGCCTCGAGTTTGCCATACCAAAGCGGCCGAGTGGAGAAGGACTTGGGGTTGGGACTTGGCCATTGGGCCGACAAGCCCGAGGATGTGGCCACAAATAGTGCTGCTGTTGCCGATTGGAGTTCGTGGTTGAACGCCATGAGAGGTGAAGTACCAGACGTCGCTGAGGATGGCTAGGACAGCTGGGAAGGTTTTAGTCAGCTCTTTCTTAGCTATCTTGTAGGGTTCGTAGGATTTAGATTCTAGTTTGGCACTCAATGCACTTGTGTGAGTCTAAAAATGTAAACTTAAGTATTACCTAAAATTTTCATTTTTATCACTAAATTTAAAAAAATTATTTTGTTACCTAAAATATTACTTGCTCCCCCTACCACAACTTACATTCCCACTATCACTCGATGTAAACACCTTTCCCAAGAAATTGATTCCAGGTATGGCTGATATGGCACTTCCAACCATACTGCTCATGTTATTTGATGATGACGAGTTAGTCGATACCGTACTATCTCTACCGTATGCTGTTGAATGTGAGTACGATGCTGCCGAAAAGTTGCTGAAGCTAGCCCTCAACAATAAGAACGGGGTCGAAGCTGGACTGGCATCAATGATACCGTAATGTAAAATAGATGTTAGGGTCTTTAAGAGTCCAATACAGTATCCGGATGGGTAGTTTTGAGACTGTATCGCACCCAACGCTGAGAAGACGTCGGTTTTGGGGAATCGGAAATCTTCAAAGGTCTTGATGGGGGTTGTTGGTTCGCTGACCAAGGCTTCGTAACTGCCATCGGTCGAGTTTGATAAGGAGTTTGTTGTCAATCCGGCAAAGTTTGATGAGACACAGGCATAGATATTGCGACAAAGTTGATCTACAACGTGGACGCAGAAGGTTGGCAAGGTTCTGAAAGCAAAATTATTGAAGATGCAATGTTAAAGCCAAAAAACCATAAATTATCGATCAAAATTTAATTGAACTCTGCCATATCAAAATATAGTAATCCTTACCTATCCAAGTATGGTAGACAATTGACCACAAACTTGAGCCACAAAACGTGACGTTCCGAACCTCGTCTCAACGCGTTCAACACCACTCCAATGAACATCTTCAACTCCACCACCATATATCGTGGATCTCTGATCGTCGACCGATTCTGAGGTGAATTGTAGAGCTGCCGATTCTCGTGTAGCCTTTCGAATGAAATCCCCAGATTCTGACTCGAATAATGTCGTACTCCGTCGAACATGTTGAACTCTAGTACAACTAGTGTTGAGGCCAAATTTAGAAGGCTTTGATGGAAGGAGAAGGCTAGCCGACGGAAGGATTCGTTGTTCTGAGGGCCACAATTGAACTCGGCAATATCGACTGTTAAGGGCATTCTGAAAATATTATGTCATTATGGTTTTTTTTACTTAGAGAATGTCATTTTTAGCATTATTTTACAACTTTTTTGTAAAAAATCAGATGATCTTGAAGTTTAACAAAAAAATCTGCTCTTTTGTCTTCTTCACGTTCATATTACAAGGAAAATGTCAAAATGTGTACCTAACTCCCAGACATTTAATATAGCTCAAAAAACTCTGATATCGTCCTGATTTCAAATCTGTTTTCAATAGTTCTTAAATATTTCTTTCGATCGAGTTATGGTCGTTTAAAATTGGTCTCTGTTTCCCTATTAATTTCCCAAAAAGGCCATGAAGAGATTTGCTAAATTTCAAGCTCGTTTCTTTTCCCTTTTCTTCATGACCATTTTGAAAAATTTATAAAAAAGGTGTGCCAACTTTAAACAGCCATAAATCGGTCAAAGCAAAAATATAGCAACTTTTAAAAACAGATTTAAAATCAGAACAACCTTAGAATTATTTAAAGCTATATCACATGTCTTGGGCGTTAAGTACACCTTTTTCACATTTGCAGAACGTAAAAAAAGCAAAACTGGCAAAACAAAGTTCAATTTTATTCAAAATTCACAAAATACAATTCTTTAATCTTGTAAAAATTGCCATAACTAAACCAATAGGAGCGGAACACGTATCTTAACCAGAACTACCATTTATTTTACACTCTTATTTTTTATTTTTCTTCTAAAACTTATTGTTTTTCTTGTATCAGCTGTGTCAAAACTTCAAATATTTCAAAAATTTTTCTTCAATTTCATTAGCATCCCAAAACACATCATTTGATCCGTAAAACAGAGGGAAGCGCGGTCGCTTGGCTTCTTCTTTCCAAAATGATTGGTTTCCTGGACAAGTTCACCAAGTTGCCGCAAGAGTTCGCGGCCGATATTAAAGAGCTCAAGGTGGGGGTTTTCTTTGACATTTTTAAAATTTTATATTTTAGGCTATCTTTTACAGACTCGTTTTAGAAAACAGCAAAAAATGGCTTTTGTATTGGTTTTAAAGGTCATTTTTACATTAAAATTAAACCAATTCCTGTCTATAACTAGACTTGAATAGGGCCAAGTCAGCACATGTAGAGCTGAAGGCCGGGGCCCAAACCTAGCCCCAAAGGCCCAGCTTAGGTCCCGCAACGAAAGATTTGGCTTGCAAAAAGCTCTTTTAGCCGAATTAAAAGATCTAGTCCGGCCTCTTTACACGAGTAGATATTACAAAACTTTTGTAAAACCCAAGCTTTTCAGACTCGACGTGAGAACATGTCGGAAATGGTCAAGCAAATGAAACAAATGGTGATTCGAGCCAACCCACCCAAAAGCCACCTTTCCACGAATATTTTAAAGAAGAAACCTGATCAGTATCAATCCCTCATGACTACTTGTGAAAATGTAAGTTACTTAAGCCATTTTATCCATTTTCAAAATCTACTATAATGTCAAAGAAAGTACTGTCGTCAATTTACGTTGATATTCAAGTTCAAAAACGACAAAACTTTTAATTTATGATTTTGGCAAAGATATACCACCTGAGACTACACCTATATCAGCGTTATAATCACCGAGTCGTATTCCTATAGCAATATTTTATAAACTAAAGCTATACCTATATCAATCCCCAACTTTCAGCACAAAGCCTTCTACCCAGAACAAGGCTATTTCTTTGTTTTGGTGAAGATCGAACAGGTTTGTCATTGGCTGAGTGAGAATCAACAGAAAAAGGTCCAACTACAACATGATCAATCCTATCAGCCGGTTCATTTGTGGGTCGATGAGGAGTTTCCGCACCTGGTCAAACAAATGCGACGTCTTCAGAAGGCGAGCAAAGCCGTGGAGAGTGCGACTTCGGCCGCAGCCAAGAACCCATCACCAGAAAAGGCAATGAAGAGGGATCAGACCGTGGAGGCCAGAGCGTTGCAGTGGAAGATTTGCGAGGCGTTGATGAAACAAAACAAAGCTTCGCCCTCGCATCATACTCAGTGCTTCAAGGCTTTTGTTCAGCATGAGGTAGGGGTGGATTTTTGCGAGATTTTAGAGGGGGTTTTTGTCAGTTTTTAAAGGTTTTTTGTCGCAGAATTACAATAAGCCATACTGTCCGTATTTTACAACGCTCAATACTGTAACCTACAAAGCTACCCCTAATAAGCCAGTATAAATAAACCTTTTGCCATTTCCAGTACACCTTTGCCAAGAACGCGGTAGTCCAACTGACCAACGCTCAAGCCGCCATGAAGATCCTGTGTACCAAGATCGAGGAGGAACGCAAAGACATGGTCGAGGAGATGAACAAGAAAATAGAAAAGGAAAAAGAAGAAAATAAGGACAAAGAGAATACGAACACACCCACGGACAAGGATTCACGATCGCCCGCTAAATCACCTGCTCCGTCTCCTGGCAACTAGTTAATCATGGATCGTCCGTTTTATCGACTAATTTTGATGCTTTCAATATAACAGCTCATTAATAAATATACTTGTGGCTAATTTTTTGATTCTTTGTTAAAGGAAAGGTGTTAGTTTTCAAGATTACTTATTATATTGTTTATTCTTGTAGTTGTTTTTCTTTTTCTTGTCACTGAAATTTTAATGATTTTTCTTCGGCGAATGAAAATCAATAGTGACACTTCGTCTATACAAAACAAATATAGCTCTAACTACTTCATATTCAACTTTCTTATCGATTTTTAAATTATTTTAAAATAATTAAAAATTTATTTAAAAGTCGAAATGTCACAACCTGCCTGAAGCAGTAATCAAGAATGACGTTTCGTTCACTTTCTCGTAAAATAGAAATTTTTCGACATTTCTAACATAAAAAGCCACTTTTTCATTGCAAAGCAGTATTTTTAACCCACCGTAGTGTACTTATCTCAAAAAACCACCAAAACCCACTTACCTCCATGACTTTTGATTCGGTGGAGCTGGTACCATGGTTAACATCAAGCTAATGACCACACGCTGCGTCCGACTCAATCGGTAGCTTTGTTGTACAAAGTTGACAAACTCTCGGCATTTGAATTCCCTTATCAGTTCGTTGACTACTTTCAGGAGTTCACTGAAGCAGTCCATTGCCACGATTTTGCATTTTATCGACCGTTCCAGGTCCTGTTTCGAGACAGCGGTTGTGGGCGAGTTGAGGTAGTAGGAGCGGAGAAAGTATAACAGTATGGTGCAGAAGATTTCGAAGAAGGTCGGGTTTCTTGCTTTTTCTCCATTTTCCGATTTTGGGGATTCATCGTCTCCCCAGAAGCCTTTGCCTTGGATGTGTTTGTAGTGACGTGACAAAGCGTCCAGAAGTTGTTGTGCTGCGGCCGATGAGACCGGGTTTTGTTGTAGTTGGGCTGTGTTGGTGAATAACATGCAGGCGACAATCATTTTGCCTAGTTTAGACTCGGTGTTGTTCCTTAATAGAGCGTTCATGATCCGGAAGATCTCTTCTGCGCGGCCCAAGTCTACTACTCGGGGGCTTTCTGCGTATAGTAGCATGTGAGCATGGGATTCGTCCAGGAGGGGTTGTTTGGCATCACCGGGTGAGGTTAGGTTTGGCAATTCGGTTGGGTCGAAAAGCCTGAAATTTAGGAAAAATTAAGTTTAAAAGTAAAACTCAAGTTCAAACGGCTAAAACATGTACTTTAATTACAAATAAGTTATGAATCTGCACTTTTATTAATGAAAGAGCTCAGAATCTGTACCTTCATTAATTTTTTCATCAATTTTGCCCCTATAATCACCTAAATTTATATCAGCAAATTTTAAAGCTAATTTTCATCTTCAACATCCCCACATCCTTACCTCAACTCCTGAGTACTCGTACTGAAAATAGTTTCCTGCAACGAATCCTGCCTTCTATGTCCGTACTTGACTCTCTTTATACTATCCGGTACCCTTGAAATCGCATTCAAAACCGGAGCCGAAGCCGTCGAAGCCGCGATAGATCCGTTTTCACTAAGAGCCTTTTCCGATCGTGTGCCATTCTTAATATAAAGGTGTTTTCGTTCTTTTGGCGACTTGAGACCGGTCGGTAATGGGCCGGCGACGTCGTCTTCTTTGATACTCTCCAGGTCTGGTGCAATTCCATTGCATTTCTCGGGTTTTCGTTGGAGATCGGGCTCGGATTCGGCTTCAGAATCCTCTTCGAGGCGTCGCTGGAGGTCGGATTGGTTGAGTTCGTCGTCGCAGATCTGGTCGACGATTTGTTGGATGAGTTCGCAGACTTCTTGGTCGATGGATTCGTCTAGGCTCATGCTGCCTAGAAGGACATTGAGATTCATTTTTTATTTTTATATATCACTTACTACAATATGATTCAAAATGTCATCAATTATTGAATTATAATCATTTTGAGTGATTACCTACTATAATATAATAAAAAAATGTTATTAGGTTGTTCAAATAATGTCGTGCCCTCTCTCAAATAATTTTCTAAGTTAAAGAGCACCGAATTATTTGAGCAGCCTAATAACATAACAAACTCACCAATACTCTCCGCGTCCTGATCAAACTGTGGAATATCCGACACCGTCCTCTTGTGAGCCGGAGTGAAAGTCGATGATTTACCGGTCGATTCCGGCTTGAATGAGCTCTGAAAGTTGTCGGTTTGAGTTGGAGTTCTTGGTCGACCAGAAGTCGAAGCGTCGAGGAAGTTTGTCTCATCCAAATCACCTGGAGTTTGAGGGTAAAAGCTCTGCCATGGTCGTTGCGAAAAGATGGTTAGATCGTGAGCTACTGGATCCGCTACCGCAGGCATTAACAACTTGTTCTTCAGGTCTTGAACCCATTGTTCTTGTTGAGTACAATCCAGGTACTGAAAGTTGTTCCATGGTGCTGTGGCTGAGCACGAAGTCCGGTCGTCTAGAGGTACATCAATATCGCGACAAACGTGGTGGAAGGTCTGTTTGCCTGATACTGTAGTTAGACTGACAGCATTCGTTTCTTCTGGTAGTGAAGGTAGTTGGTGTTTGGTTAAGCGGTTGTCGATTTGAACGAATTGGACTGATACTCGAGCTGAGGCTGGGGTTAGGAGCATCATGAACAACATCTGAAATTGATATCCTTATTTTAAAATTAAGAAAATATGTTCCTATCTACAACAATATAATCCCCAAGACCAGTAAAAGCATAAACAACATTTAAAAAGAGTAATACTAATTTATAAAAACATGCTTCTATCCACTACAATATACTGCCCCAACCCAGTAAAACCCCAATTCTCACCTGCAAGATCTTGTGTAGATCCCCACACTCTGCACATTCACTAAACCAGGCATATGCCACATCCCTCACTTCTACATTCTTATTCTCGTAAGCCATGAATCCTAAGAACACCATGATGACTTTGTTCAACGGCTTTGGCGGAGAAGAATCAGCAGTTAATGCTTCGTCTTGATCTCGATTCAAGCCCCACATTACCCAGAACTTGACGGCCGCTCTTAGGCTTATGAGTTTGTTGTTTGAAGTCAGGTCATGTACTATGATATCCTCCACTTCACTGGATCGATCTTGAGACTTTCGAGAGTGTAGTCGCATCAGAAGGCGTGATACGATCAAAGAATTTGTGTTTGGAGATTGTTCTTCGAGATGGCTCCAGAGGATGAAGGCGGCCTTTCTGTAGAAGTTGATCTCTTCCAGCTTCTGGGCTTCGGCTTCTGGAATGTAGGGCTTCAAGAGGAAGGTTTGGGTCGATTTTTCTGGCCTGGAAATTAGCATATCATTATTAAAATCGTAAAAAAATCGAGGCTTTCGTCATTTTCAGGGGATTTCCTGAAATAATGTTGTATAAAAAAGATCGAGCTATTTTTCTGAAATCGAAGTAGCTCAACCTTTTTTATACACCCTAATAAAAAACTCACTTTTTCTCCACCGCAATGTATGAATTCCTCGGAATCCGGCCGTGATACACGTACCATTGCTCCAGAATTGAAGCCGTCCTCACCGCTATCTGAATCATGATATCCAGAAGCTTGGCTCGTATTTCAAAATCTTGAATTGTTTCCATTTTTAAGTTTGATTCATCGATGTTTTGTCGTTGAATGAATTTTGTCCATTCGTCGGCATCGAAAACTTCTAGTAGAGCTTCGAGCCATGGTGAGAAGTCGGCGTTTGAGTAGCGTGAGTTTCGAGTGATATTGGCTGTAAATAGTAAGATTAGAAAAACTTTTAAAGCAAAATCACTTCTGTTTTCATTTCATATGCTTTAAAAATCAAGACCACCATTTTTTTCAAAAATTTGGTAAAATTTTAACTTTTTCAAAAAACAGGTTTTACCGTATAAGTTGTCCCCCAAAATAAATAATAGCTAATTTTCTTAATATTTAGCTATTCATTTATATATCAACAAGATTTATTCTTAAATTCACAAAAAAACCAATTTTTCAAAAACAAGTTCAATCGTATAACTTGTCTTCCGCAGGCTGCAGAACCAAAAAATAGTCAAGTACTATCGCAAATCGTAATTTCTTAAACGTTAAAAATAAAATAAAACTTGTTAACCCCTTTTATACTATCTAAAACAATATTTTAATTTCATCACTATGTAAACTAATAAAATACTTCCTTTTACGCTTATTATCACAACCTAAAACAATATCCACCCTTACCATTCTCCGGATCAAACACCACAAATGGGAACTCGGCAAAATCCTTGAGTAAATGAAGAGCTGCTGTTAGAACGCCAGTTTTGTCACGATCTCTTCCTCTCACATACCATTTGCATATTTTTACCGTCAGGTTTCGGCATGATTCTGAGCAGTCTTCCACTACTTTTTGGTCTGAAAATGTAAAATTTTTGAAACTTAAATAAGAGATATCATTTTTCTCATTGGTTACCATTTTCTTTTATTTTTAGCTTAATAACAGCTTGTTTTAGATAATTTTCGACAAAAAATGGCCATTTTTTCCACAATTTTCGTAAAAAAACCAAATTTTTTGCAAGTCTTTAGCCTTAAAACATCATTTTAAACACATGATCTAGCTAAAACCAAGTTCTTGTAAATCCTAATTAACTAAAAAAAGTCTTTTACAACAAAAAATGCACCTGAAAACAGGTATTCCAACCACAATTCTCCTTCAAAAACGCCATTTTCTCCCCCTTTTCAACAATAAAACGCCATTTCTAAACTAATGTCTGCCAAAAACAAGCCAAATGACCTTTTACAACACCAACAACATCAATTTCCCAAACAAAATCTATATGTCTATTCACAACACTACATATATAACATATACTAGGTAGTTCAAAAATTTCTGCGCCCCTCTAAATAAGTGTTCAGAGTAAAGAGGCGCAGAGTTATTTAAAACCTAATATAACCTTCACAACATCTACCTTCGACTTTTTTGCGAATTGCAGTTGGTGACAGGCCTTTCCGTTCATTCTCTTCTTGTTCCTCCTTTTCATCCGTTTCTTTTTCGATTGTTGTTGATGCTAAAACAACCACAAATCACTTTGCATGCTTTCTTTATAATAGAACAAGCTTTACCACATAGTTACAGTACAATAAAAATCATAATTTAGCAGTAAAACCAAAAATCTAAGAAAAAATTAAAATTTTGTACCGTTTTTAGCAAAAAATTGAATTTTTGGGTAGGTGTTTGATCAAAATTTCAAAAAAAGCTTCAAAATCCTAGTAAAATTAAATTTTTTTCAATCTCAAACTAAAGAAAAGTCTTCCCAACATCAATATCTTCACATATCCTTACATTCCGGCTCCAACAAGGCAGCATTCTGACCAATTTCGGCCAACAATCGTCGGCAAACACAGAGTAAAGCTACAACATTATCCCTGGAAAACTTTTCACAGCCTTTTTCATTAATCGCATCCAGAATCCGTTTTAGTAGTGATGAGATATGTCTGTTCCTGATATCTTCATGTGCATCTAGTCTCACATTCTGTACACAAAACACGATCATCAGTGGGTATAGCATGAGGTGTTCTCTTCGTTTCGCTTCTTCGAACTGACGTTTCTCTCGTTCTTCAATTGTTAATGAGGCTTCTTCTTCGTCGGTTAGATCTGTTTTGAAGGGTGGGGGTTCGAGGAGCTTTACAAACAAGTCTCCCAGGTAATCCCACAGGAAATTGGGCTCTAGTGATGTTAATAATGAGTTAAAGTTCTTCTTGATCTCGTCGAGACGTCGTTCCTAAAAAAGTACGTTTAAATTTGCCTTTATACAACTTTATAGTACTATTTTAACAACAATGTACTCATATAATACAGATAAACCCAAAAAACACGTAGAAACATAAATTGTACAACTATCGTATAACATGTCACCCGCGGCCTGCAGACCCCAAACTCAACCCAATAACAACATTATTTAGCCTTCCCCTACCACAATACCCCATTAAAGATCTTACCTTCTCTTCCTCGTTCAAAACATTATCATTCTGGCTCCAACTCTCCCAAAGTGTACCAAACGAAAAAGATGGGTCAGTTTGTTCACAAGATGTCTGCAGTTCTCTCACCATCTCACTATCTCTTCGACATGCATATTCCAGGAACATTAGTAGGGTTTCGTTAAGGATTGGAGTTCCGAGTTCCGGCCGATCCAGGAAATAGTGCAATAAACGACATAGCCGCACTTCTGTGAATTGAATTTGCACATTCTGAAAAAGCAGAGTAAAAACAGTGTTAAAAGTTTTAAAAATTAATTTCCTAAACAAAAACATTAAAATTTCAAAAAGTCTTGAAAATCAAAAAATATTTTTTTGCTTAGTCTATACCTACATAATTATTAAAAAATTAGTATTTATACCCGTCATACCGTTTTAAAATTCAAAACAATACAAACAAAGTCATAAACAACCCTAGTTTTATACATTTAAAGTCAAAAATCTTTTAAAAAAAATTAGTATAACATGTCACCCGCAGGCTGCAGAATAAAAGAAACTTCAAAACATCAAAACACCATTTTAAAATAAAAATTTTATTGAAAAAAGTCAATTTAAAAGCGTTTTAAAGATTTTGTTTTCACCGAAAACATTTTTTCCAATTATTTTATTTTTCATTTCTCTAAACTATAACTCACCCTATGATCCTTCCACCCGTCACTCAGCGGCAAAACACTCGAATTCACCAGCAATTCCACGGTTTGTTGAGGTAGAAAGTCGGCCACAGCCAGTCGAATCAGTGGGATTGAGTAGGTATGGAAGAATTCGAGATCAGTCAATTCTTCAGCTCCGCCTAAAGCCGGCTGAGCCGAATCTGCTTGCCGATTCAAAAGCCATTGATAGAGACGTCGATTCAAGCTCATATCACGACGAAGCACTACGAATAGACATCGCTTTAGGATCTGGACCAAGTCAGATTGAGCCACGTGAGCCGAGTTTAGAGGAATGGCAGTGCAAAGAAAGTCGAGAAGGTTGCGCTGGATTAGAGGGTTGCCCGGATCTTCGGCTACTGCACACAAGGCATCTGTCATGTAGTCGGCGTGAAGTTGGCCTCCGGATATTATGGCTAGTTGATCGTCTATTGGTTTCCGCTTGTCGATTTTGTAATTTACAAATATTAAGGCTGGTAGTCGGACTGATGGTGAGCCTCGAACTGCCTAAAGTTAAAAATATTGTTTTTCGCCAAAAAGTATCATGTAAAGGAAGTTCATGCCATTTTATGCACTGTAAAGAAAGTTTTTGCCATTTTTCTTTATAAAACCCCAAAAATAAATTTACAAAGCCGTTTTCAAATCTAAATCCTCTAAACTTCAATTTTTTCATACCTAAACATCGCATTTTTTAATACCTAAATAACTAAATCTGTCCATTTTCTTATATAAACATTAAGATCCAATCCTTTTCATACCTAAAAACCACAAAAATTATCAAAAACCCTTACCTGCCACAAACAAGCATAAAATGACAAAGGCCCAGCAGTTTCCATGACCTGATCCAACAATTCAATAGCCGGTAGATAGAAATCCGTCCCTTCCTCCAACGCAAACAATATTGCAGCAATGAAGCCGGGTAAAGCCGGTCGTATTTTAGGCCCCAAAGGCAACAAAAACTTTTCAAACACCGACATCAACTCCAACTTGACTTTGATGCCACAATTGTCCATTAATGGGAACAAACCGATCGTGAATAAATATAAACATCTGGCCAGTTTGTCAGACTGACCTAGAACCGTGAACACTTGTTTGTAGGTATCGAGGGTTTTGAGATGCACACCCGAAGGCAGAGCTGGATGTAAGCATTGTGAAAGACGTTTGGCCACGGTAACCGTTTTTGGAATGTCGTTAAAAGAGCGGGCGTTCGATTGAAACACCTGGAATGTCAAGATTTAAATCAACTTGTCAAAATTATCAAAAATTCGATTACCTTGTCATGGTTAATATAAATTTTGTTTCTGTAACTTAAATTTGATCAACCTGTTACAGAAGAAAGCGTATTTTACTTAAACATAATCTTCTAAAACTATATTTATCCAAAATTCACAAGAAAACCATCAGAACTACCTAAATTTATCGAAAATATTCAATTACACAGCAAGATTTGATATTTGCCAAATTTTTATGTCAATATCAACGTACTTTACATAGTTTACCCAGGGAGGCAATCAAATCCGCCCAATCATTCGTATACTCAAAAGCCTTAAGTGCTTTGTCCACCGAAGCGGCATAATTCCGGTATTTTGTTGAGTTATTTGTAGGCTCAATTGGATGAACTAAAACAATATCCATTATAAGGCGTTTTGGCGATTTTATGAAATTTTTAACGCATATTCTTAAAAATTCCCTGTCTATGTTTTTAGCAACATTCAACTGCCTAAATCCCTTCAGTTTCAAACCTAAAATTCGAAGAAAAATAAGAAAATACTTACCAGAAGTCATAAGATAACATTCGAACAACAAACCCTGAAAATATGTGTAATTTTAACAAAGTAAACATTAATTATATGTGAAAAACATTCACGAGTTTAATAAACATGCAACTATTTACTTGCACTTTTAAAAATTTAACAAAAACAAGAAACAATACTGAAGACCGGTTTTTATGAAGAAAAGGTGATATAATCGAGTAAAAATGCTACAAAATAAAAGAAAAATGTAAAGCCATTCTAAAACATAACAAAAATACTACAGAGTATCATTCCTCAAAGTTTTAGCAAGTTATGAAAACAAATAAACTAGTTTTCAGTCCATTTCATATTACCCATGCTTTAAGCTAAACATAGCTCAAACTTTTTAATATAATTAACTAAAATAAACTTAAAGCAAGGTAAATTTATAACGAAACAGTAACAAAGACTATGTTTTTACTACACAAAACATATCATGACGTTTTCTAAAGATAGAAACATATTATTCATCAAAGAAATATTATCTTCGACATCAAATAAAAAGACGTCACTTCTCGATAAAAATCAAATTTACAATTTTTTTATATCTAAAATTTAAAACTACACAATCTCCACATTGCAACAAACGATTTGAAGCCAACTTTCATAAAATCAAAGATAACATCGCAAAGATACGAACCTTTTTCAAACCACAGCCACCAAAACCTCATGAATAATGCAAATTCCAAAAATCAAAAACGCGTGAGCACTAACTATGATCTACCGTTTGAAATCAACTTTGTAAACACCAAATTTTGTTATGCTTGATTTTAAAACATCAAAGTTTGTTATCCTTTCACGTTCTTATCAAGGAAAATATTGTTTTATAGTTATGGAACCACGGGATCTCAACTGATGCGAGACAAATATTTCACTGATGATGTTCAATCGCAAAAAGTGGAGAAAATCGTGAGTTCTCATCTATGAAGGCGAAAAAACCGATTCCAAACCACGAATATAAAAAATCCGGAGGAAAATAACGAGTCACAACAAAGGGGAGAGAGCTGACCCGCCGCGGGTCGAGTGTTGCGCTGTAAACAAATATGGGCACAGTGACAAGAATAACATCATCGTAAGCCCGGTCCTCCAAACAATTAGCGTTTTATGAGGCCTTTCGAGACCTTTCAATGGCCAATTCAATTACATTTGACTTGCGAAAACAGCTGAAATTGAGGAAAACATTGAGTGTAATATAAAAATAGCTGGTATTTGGTGTGTAAATGAGTATAACCTGCTGGTAAATTGTGGTATTGTTATAAAAATTCTCAAAAATAGTGAAAATACTACCTAAAATCCAAAAATATGCTCATTTAAAGCTATTTCAAAGATTAAATTTAAAAAATTTAAATTTATTTTAAAAATTTGTTTTTAAAAAATTTTAAAATTAAAGCCCCAAAATCTTGAAATATACAATAAAATAGAATTCAAGACCTCGCGCAATACGTTTAAATTTCACATAACCTCATTTCGACTTAATAACCAGTTAAGATCCATCGCGTATTGAAAGTGCAGCCGGCTTTGAAAAAGTGCATTTTGCGGAAGTAAAAAGTGAGTAAGATATGTGAGGTAAGAAGATGACGATGTACACGCTTTTTGTGGTTTCTTGACTTGATTTGAGGAAAATTTGACAAAATTTTCTTTATGGAAATAATTAAAATGGCAAAAACTTTGTTTACATGACAAAATGACATGAACTTTACTTACAAAACTTGAAATGGCAAAAATTTTCTTTACAAGACGGAAAATGACAAAAACTTGCTTTACAAAACAAAAAATAGCAAAAACTTTGATTACAAGACTTATATAGCAAAAAATTTCTTTAAAAAGCTCAAAATGGAAATAACTTTCTTTAAAAGCTTAAAATGACAAAAACTTTTTTTACAAAACTTGAAATAGCCAGAATGCTTTTTACGATACATAATACAGTACAATATAGTCTTTAAATCTTTGTTACACTAACTAAAACAATTTTAGTAATAAAAATGGAAAATCATAAAAAATATCTTGAACAAGTATACCCTTCTAATCCAAAATTGAAATTTTAAGACACTTTTTTCGTCAAGGGTTTCAGAAGACCTTCAAAATGAAGTCACAGCGTATGATTACAGCAAAAACACCAAAATGTACCAATGATTTGACGCAGTTAAAAAATAAAGTTTATCGCCAGAGTTCACAATAAGTTAAGTTGTTATACGGTCCCACTGGCGCTAGGACAAATGCGGTTTTTGGACACTTGCGGTTTTGGATATTTGCTGATTTTTTAAAGGTTTTTTTTTATTTTTTAGTTAATTTAGTTGTAGTAAGGTTTAAATTAATACTGTTTTAATATTCGTCGGTGCTAAATAGTACTAATTTTAAATTGGTACTGTTTTTATATTTTTGGTACTAAATGGTACTAAAAGCCCAAAATGGTACTGTTATGTTAAAACCGTACCAATTTCAACTTTAGTACCATTTAGTACCATACTACAACTACAGGGTGTTCCAAGAAAAATGTTAAAAACTAACGAGCTATAATTTTCTTCTTAACAAAGCTACAGATGCCAAACTTGGCATGATGAAAGTTTGGAACCACAAGTTTTTTGCCACAAAATTTTGGATTTTTTAAGTACATACTAAGGGCGTTATGATTTTTTAAAAAATGTTCATTTTCCCCGGAATTACACATATTTTGAGTTGGAAATGCTTTTTTTGGTGAAATTTTCTAAGTTTTTGACACTTTTTCAGTTGAAAATGAAATTTTTAGCCAAGTTTTCGATTTTCAAAAGTCGGCGGAGACATTGTTTCACGTCGCTACATTATGTTTGAAGCGAGTTATAGCCTCCGCCGATAAATTTCGGCGTCCGCCGAGTCTCCGCCGACGTTTGAAAATCGAAAACTTGGCTAAAAATTTCATTTTCAACTGAAAAAGTGTCAAAAACTTAGAAAATTTCACCAAAAAAAGCATTTCCAACTCAAAATATGTGTAATTCCGGGGAAAATGAACATTTTTTAAAAAATCATAACGCCCTTAGTATGTACTTAAAAAATCCAAAATTTTGTGGCAAAAAACTTGTGGTTCCAAACTTTCATCATGCCAAGTTTGGCATCTGTAGCTTTGTTAGAAAGAAAACTATAGCTAGTTAGTTTTTAACATTTTTCTTGAAACACCCTGTAAATTAACTAAAAAATAAAAAAACCCCTTTAAAAAATCCGCAAGTGTACAAAAACCGCACTTGTCCTAGCGCCCCTACATAGGTAAATTTAAGCTTTTTTATTAAATAGCAGTTCGAATAACAAGTTGATAACGTTTGAATAGCAGAAGAACAATATGTATTTCTAACGTTTCTTTTGTCACATTTTGAATTTTTTGAAAGACACGTTTAAAAATGAAATGCCTCCTGAAATAAGAATGCTTATTCATGCCTCTGTTCATTTATGTTTGTATAAAATTTTAAGAAATCAAATTGAAATTACATATAATTGAGGTTACAGTTTTTTGCAAAACTCATATTATCTTAAGCCTTGTAAAGAAAGTCCTTGCCGTTTTAAGTTCCTTAGAGAAAGCTCTTGCCATTTTAAGTTTTGTAAAGAAAATTCTTGTCGTTTTAAGTTTTGTAAAGAAATTTCTTGCCATTTTTTGTTTTGTAAAGAAAGTTCTTTCCATTTTTTGTACTGTAAACAAATTTTTCGCAATTTTGCCTACCCTACCTTACTTTACCTTCACTCCAACCCAAAACATGACTCAAACCCAGCCCGAGGCATCTCCCCTTCAAAAAGCGACCGATGGTTTAAGAAGAGTATGATTCGAGTAGTAACAAGAGTATTATAAGGTTTTTTGTGTTGGTTTCGGAGATTTCGAGAGCGGCGCTAAAAGGAATCTCCTCACTTAAACAACAACTTCAACCTTTCCCTCTTCAATTCGTCTTAACCGAAATATTCAAAAAAAAAGGAAGGGGGGGGAGGTGGAGGCGATCTTCTTCTTCGCTGAATCTTCTTCTCGAAATTACATTTTTGCGTATACAACAAATCTTATACATAAGTGAAACAAGTCACACGTCGAATTTGGTGTTTTTCTTAACGGTCAGGGCACGGCACAAGGAAGCTCTTAATGTTTATCTTCTACGTAATTTTTGACCACAGTTATAAAAAAAACAAAAGAAAACTTTTATTAGAAGTAAAAGAGCAAAAACTTTTTTTACAAAACAAAAAATGTTAAGAACTTTCTTTAAAAACAAATAAATAGCAAAAACTTTCTTTAGAAATTAAAAAATGGCAAGAACTTCCTTTACAAAGTAAAAAATAACAAGAACTTTCTTTACAAAACAAGAAACGGCGAGAACTTTCTTTACAAAACATAACATGACAAGAACTTTCTTTACAAATCATTAAAGGGTCAGAACTTTCTTTACAAAACATAAAATGACAAGAACTTTCTTTACAAACTTAACTAACAAGAACTTTCTTACCAAATCATTAAAGGGCCAGAACTTTCTTTACAAAACAAAATGGCAAGACCTTTCTTTACAAAACAAGAAATGGCAAGAACTTTCTTTACAAAACACAAAATAACAAGAACTTTCTTTACAAAACCAAAATGGCAAGAACTTTCTTTACAAAACGTAAGATGGCAGGAACTTTGTTTACAACCCATCCAACAACCAAAACTTTTGTAGTTAAGCCGAATATTACTTAAATGGCCCAAAATATAAAATTTTGACCGCCAAACACTCCCCCCCCTGCTAACTAAAAAATGAAATAAATTCAAAGCCGTATTATATTATATTGTTTTCGGTATTCTCTTGGCTGACATATGGCTGGCGAAAAATAAAATAAAAAATGGAAATTAATAGCACGGAACGGCGTGGCAAAACCTCGACAATGGGGCCAAAAGTCTGTTATACCGTCTTGATTTTTTAAAAAATGGCCAAGCGTCATTCTTTTTTCAACAAGTTTTTGAATACGCGCCATTCTTTTTGCATCTTTATATTTTTCCATTAAGCGCCATTTTTTTTCGAACAAAGTTTCTTACTACGCGCCTGCAGCAAATATATCTTCCAACAGTGCTTTTTGAATCAGATTTATGTTTTCAATTATACGCCATTCTTTTTGCATCAAGTTTTTTTACTACGCGTCATTCTGTTTGCATCAAATACATTTTTCAACCAATCTGCGCCATTCTTTTCGCATCAAGATTTTTACTACGCGCCATTCTTTTTGCATCAGTCTTTTTACTACGCGCCATTCTTTTTAAATCAAGTTTTTTTTGCTATGCGCCATTTTTTTTGCATCAGTCTTTTTAGTACGTGCCATTCATTTTGAATCAAGATTTTCAATACTCGCCATTCTTTTTGCATCAAATACAATTTTCGATTACGCGCCATTATTTCTAAATCAAGGTTTTTACAACGCGACATACTTTTGCATCAGTCTTTTTACTACGCGCCATTCTTTTTGCATCAACTATATTTTTCAATTATACGTCATTCTTTTTGCATCAAGTTTTAACAAAAATTATAATTTTAAAATACAAATCCAAGAAATAATAGTATGTTTTTGCAAACCAACTATCAATAATATTAACCATGAGCAGTATAATTATAAAATTGATTCGGAATCAACAAACAACAAGGTCAAGCTTATACAAATATTGGAAAATTTAACAACAAAATGATTACGTTTGGTATTTCTAATCGTTTATCATTTTTTACAACTCTAACAAAAAAGTAGTCCCAATCGACCAGTCGATAAGACCCACTCCAACTTTTAGTTTATTACAGTATATTACTCTACCTAAAGTTCCTACTGGCAGATCTTATAACACTTATACTTAATAAAAAATGGCTATAAAAGTACAATTCTCATATTACAGTAGTTCCAACCGACCAGTCGATTATACCAAATCTAAATTTTGGGTAAACTGGCATGCGATATACTATAATATAAAAGTTAAAAGACTGTTTCAGAGAGCCATAACTTTGTTCCGAACGAGTAATATGTAGTATTATTTTAAGATAATCTCTTATAGGAGCCCAAATAACAATAGTAAAAACGTAAAGAAACACTACATTACATATATTGTCAACAAGTTATGGCGGTAACGTTTTACAAAGCTAAAAACAGCAATAACTTTCTTTACAAAAAAGGAAATTGCAAAAACTTTCTTTACAAAGCAAGGAATGGCAAGAACTTTCCATACAAGACCTAAAGTAGCAAGAACTTTCTTTACAAAACAAATCACAAAAATGTAAATATGTATGCCAACTATGACCTAAAATACGCCAAAACAAGCTTAAAGTTCCAAATTTCGAAGAAAAAAACAATCTTTTTGCCTCAATTTGCCCTGAAGCATGCCCTTTTGGAAACCAGGTGAAAAACCGGTTTTTCGATCCGATTATACGAGATTTGAAAACGAAAAAACTTTTTTGGCCGTAAAAAGACGAAAAAAACCCCCGAGGCCATCTTGTTTTCTAAAGACTCTTTCACATCACATATATACACATATACGGCACAACCTTTCCCATGCGAATCGAATTTACATACGATAATTTGACACCTCATGAAGGCAGTTGGGGAACGAAATTATAGTTTTTGCTATTTTTTGCGTTGTAAATAAAGTTCTTGCCAATTTATGTGTTGTAAATAAAGTTGTTGCCATTTTTTGTTCTGTAAAGAAAGTCCTTGACATTTTGTGTTTTATAAAGAAAGTTCTTGCCATATTGTGTTTTGTAAAGAAAGCTCTTGCCATTTTACGTTTTGTAAAGAAATTTCTTGCTGTTTTTTGACCGGTAAATGAAGTTCTTGCCATTTCATGTGTTGTAAACAAAGTTCTTGACAGCTTATTGCTTGTAAAGAAAGTTCTTGCCATTTTTCGCTTTGTAAAGAAAGTTCTTGCCAATTTGAAGGTAGTACGCACTAAGTGAATGAGAAATTACCTTCTTCTTTACAGAATAAACGCCTTTTATATACACTTACACCCATCTGTCAATAAATATTGGCAGTTCTAATAAGCCAAGCCTTTTAACTATAACATAATATGTACAAGTCGTCAAAACACAATTAAAACCTCGCAACCCCTCTGTTTTGAGTTAAGCAAACACAAAAGCATATCACAAGCTAGGTTACCACACGTTAGCACGTTTAAAATGGCACAAAATCGTTAAGAACACAACAAAACATTAAGAAAGGTAACAAAAAACCACAAAAATAACATAAATACACAAAAAGCATCAACTTTTGCCCAAATTTATGAACAAATCCCAAATATTGTAGTAAGTTTATTCATGTTTTAACAATTTACAATGAGAAACAAGTAGGTATTGTACACCAAGACTTAAAAATATTGTTTTAGAGATCAATCCCAAACCGAAAATAATATAAATTTGTGGCTGTAAAGAAAGTTTTTGCCATTTTTTGGAAGCTATGTAAAAATAGCTTTGAAAAATAAAAGAATTTTAATTTTTTTACTTTTTTAAATTCAAAAAAATCAAAATTTCAAAAAATTTAAAAATTTTTTTAATTTTCAAAAATGACAAAAATTTTTCGACAGCTTGATTAGAAATCTATTATAATATACAATTTCAAATGAAAAATCAAATAAAAATGACTAATTCGGTCAATAATTAGAAGAAAGTCAGAAAACGAGATAAATCTCAAACTTAAGGTCTATGAACCTCTATGATAATATATTAAGATTGAAAATAATAAAATACGGTTGAAAATAATAAAATACGGTCAAAAATAGATTAACTATAAATAATTGTTGAAGAAGTTAGCCTTAAAACTGTCACAAGGTCGCTTTTCACGTAAAAAATTAGCTGCAGCCTGCAGGAGCTCGGGCGCAGAGTTCCAAACGCTGGTTTTAATAAAAGTGCAAAAATAATGTAAAAACATGATTTTTTATGACAAATTTAGACCAAATTTTTCAAAAATATTATGTTTCATTTTAAAAAATTTAAAAAAACCTAAGATAATATAAATAGTGCTAAAGAGTTGTAGACCGCGTTATTTGTTCCAAATAGACTTGATTATGACAATGTAATACCATCATGTGTAGTGTAATATAACTGATCACCGGGTTAGCTACGAAATAGAATCGAGGTGTTTTTTCGGGGTAAAATTACAGTAACTTCAAGGGGTATATAAGTTTTGATAGCTAATTAAAAATGACATTTTATAAAAAAACATACTTTGAAGTTGACTTTTAAATTGAAAATACGATTAAAAGTCCTATAAAATAGTAGAAAAATGAAAATATTTTAGATTGACTTGATTATACGGTAAATTATTGCACAGTAAAAACATCGAGACCACTGTAAATTGACAATACTGGCTATTTTGATAAAAGACATAAAATAAAACATTATTCTAAAAGAAAAAATACTGTGATACTATCAAGTACTATGGTACTACCAAGTAATACTGTACTATCAAGTACTATCGTATTACCAGGTACTATCGTACTATCAAGTATAACGGTACTGTCGAGCACGAATAATACTGTAAAAGACTAAATTAGCTCTTAGTAAGGCACCTAGTACCACCGGTGCTAATTGATGCTCAATCTAGTACCCAAAGTTCGTTGTCTAAGCTTAGTACCATTAGACGTGCTATATAGTGATGTTCACAAAAATGCTTAGTACTATGAAGTAAATGGTGTAGTATTAACCAAGAATACTATATAACTGTTCCAGAAGATACATATAGTACTACAAGTCTTATTATACAGTACTAAAAGTTAATGATACTCAATAAAAATCAAAAGTCTTCACCATAGTACCGTTCTTATCTTGTACCACTTCCACTACTATTTGTACCAATCGTAATGCCATCTTTGACAATCGTTGGTACCTTGAAAACCGTAGAATCCCGTTCAACTTCTGAATCCATATTTGCCGTCAGATCTTCTGTCTTAGTACTATTTTTCAGTACTGTTCCATTTGTACCATACATACTGCTCAAAATGACATTTCGGGCGAGATTGTCATCATTTATCGCAGTATTACCAAAAGCATTTCCTTTAGTACCATTTATACGATCTTTGTTTCTTTTAGTACCATTTCTTTCATTTTCAGTACCAATAGTACCATCTTCAGACCCTGTAGTACCATTTTCATTTCCTTTAGTACAAGTTCCAGCCATTTTAATATCAGAAGTACCATCATGTTTGTCCAAAAGAGTACTACCCTCTACAGTATCCCTCACTTTTCCATCTTTCTCCTTCAAGGATACTGTAACATCCGTCTTCTTAAGCGATTCCTTGATGCCATTGTCCTCATCTGAATCCCAGTTAGTGACGTCAACAAAGATATCTTCCTCATCTTCACTATCACTCAGACTGATCACCTCGGTGGATGGTACCTTTGTTGGTTTGGGCGATAGTGGTGATACCAGCTTGCTCTTCTTCGTATCGTACTTGGCTTTTCGTACTCGGCGTGGTAAAAGCGAAGGCCCGGCTTTTTGTTGATGTCGTGTTGACATGTGGCGGGTTAGGACGTCACGGCGACGCTGAAAGTGACACCATTAGTAAGAAATTTGATTACAAGATTTAAAATGACAAGAACTTTCATCACAAAAATTAAAATAGCACAAACTTTCACTATGAGACATAAAATGACAAGAATTTTGACTATAAAATAAAAAATGACAAGAACTTTCTTTAAAAAAACATAAAATGACAAGAACTTTCTTTACAAAACGTAAAATGCAGGCTTGGACACAGAGCAGGCAAATTTGCATGCCATGTGCCATGCAGAGCATCAGGGCATTGGGCATGCCTTGCCCTGTAAAAAATTTTAAAAACATGCCCTATTTGCCCTGTTACAAGGCATGGTACAGAGCACCCTTCCCTGTGTCCGAGCCTGGTATAATAGCAAGAATTTTGCTTACAAAACAAAAAATAAGAGAAAACTAAAGTTATAAGTCTTAAAATGTCGATAAATGCCATTTTTAGTAAAATTTCAACCAAAAATAATATAAAAGTTTTGAAAAATAATCTTTATACAGTATAACTCCTGTACATCAAACTCTTATTATACCACAACTCGTTTATAACAAACAAATTTTAAATCCTCAAGCAATTCGTTATACAAGAGTTTCACTGTACATTATTATGTTCCAAAACTTTAAATTAAAAAAAAATAAAAATCCTTACCGCCGCATAAGGACAAACGTCACATTTGTACGGTTTTTCATCAGTGTGAGTTCGTCGATGAGTTCGCAAATGGTCGGAACGAGAGAAGTGTCTGCCACAACAATCACAACAAAACGGCTTTTCGCCGGTATGACGGCGGAGATGACGTGACAGAATATCTGGACGTCGGAAATCCTAGAAAATTAAAAATTAAAGTTTGTAAAGAAAGTTCTTGCAATTTTTTAGTTTGTAAAAAAAGTTATTGCAAATTTAGGTTTTGTAAAGAAAGATCTTGTTATTTTGTGTTTTGTAAAGAAAGTTCTTGCCATATTGTGTTTTGTAAAGAAAGCTCTTGCCATTTTTCGCTTTGTAAAGAAAATTCTTGCCATTTTTTGTTTTGTAAAGAAAGTTCTTGCCATTTCTTTGGTTATGTAAAAAAATCCTTGCCATTTTTTTAGTTTGTAAAGAAAGTGCTTGCCATTTTACATCCTGTAAACAAAGTTCTTGTCCTTCTTCACCTACCTTATTACAAAACCGGCACATGAATTGTTTATCTTCATCATTGTCATCAGCTGACGGCTCTAATGTCACACTGATGTTTGTCTTTGGCTTCGGCTCTTCATCCGTACTATTCTGCTTAAATTTCCTTTTAGTGCTCTCGGTTCGGCGCAGAGTTTGAGGAGTTTCGGCCGCTGTCCCACATAACGGAGAGCTGACAGTGGCCTGGAAAATGAAGTTACAGTTAGATAAAACGTTTAAAAATTATATTTTGTAAACCTTAACACTCTTAAGGCATACAAAAATTACTATGACAATTTTTTTCATTAAAACACGAAAATACCTAAACCTTATTCATTTGGTCACCTTTGAACACAATTTTCCAAGTGTTACCTAAATTTTAACAAAAATCAACTTAATACCTTTTATAAAGCATAATATATAGTATATATCCTAAAAGTTTTGTGATCATAACGCTAATTGTAAAAAGGTTACATCCCCTCAAACCCTCATGACCTCCAATTTTCTGGCCGGGATCGAACTTTTCTTGATTTTCAAACTTTCAAAATAGGTATATCTTTTTTTCAATCGCTAAAAACCAATAAATTTTCGAAAAAACTTGGCTTATTTATTTTTTTACTAAAACAATCAAAAAATAAACAAAAGTAAATTATTACCCAAAATTATAGCTATTCTCTTTATGCCTGTACTTTTTGCCTGACCCGGTCAACTTTCGATCTTATTTTCCATTCTTTACCTACACTTGAACAAAAACTGAATACACACATTTAGTAAAGCATAAAAAGAAGTAAATATTCTCAAAGTTTCATACCTATATATTGTTTTATAAAAAAGTTATGGCTGTTGAAAAAGTCCGAAATTTAAAAAAAAGTTTGGTTTCCCGGAGAAAAACCAAAAAATAGGTATCTTTGAACCTTTAGAAAGCTGTAATTTTTTTATAATGTAAGATATAGTAAAAAAAACTTCGTAATATATACTAAGTTTTATGCTTTACAAAACGTATGAATTTGATTTTAGTTAAAATTCAATTAAAATACGAAAAATAATGTCCAAAGCACTGATAGACCACAAAAAGCTCACTTTTTTACTTTTTCTGGAAGAAAAAAATAATTTTTTGAAAAATTTTGGCCGGTGACTAGAAAGAAACCGTTTATAAAACCGTATTTTATGTTTAAAGTCTTGAAAAATATATAGTTTGTGCTCGAAAGGTTTGTCTTTTGATTTCAAAATAAGCCTTATATGTTATGATTGACTAAAATATCATAATTTACCTCCAAAACCCCTACATTATGGCAGTTATCCCTGATAGCTTCGTATTTTATTTTCAAAACCCCTATATTATAGGAGAGATATCTCAAATCTTCGTATTTTACCTCAAAAAACCAAGAATAACACCTTACCTTCAACGGTGGCCGTTGCAATAGCCCTGCCTGGCTTGGCTGTGGTAAAAGTTGAGTATTCAACGAAGCAGTCCTTGATATCGGAGCATGTGTGGTCAAGTTCATGTTGTTCAACCGTTGAGCGTGTTGGATCATGTTGAAGTTGTGGAGCATCTTCTGAAGATCGTTCTGGCTGTTCTGATGGATCTTCGGTCCGAAATTAACGGGAATCTGTTGATTTTGGAGTGGATTACAGGCTGGCAGCGATTCGGAACGAAAAACCGATGCGCTCAGGGGATCGTGCTGGGACTGCTGGAGCTGTTCCTTGGACTGGCGGATCAGCTGGGCCAGCATGTTGGCTTGGAGGTTCTTGCTCAGATCAAGAAGGTGGTCTGATATCCCGTCATCTGAAAATTGTTTTTGTTGTAGAATGGCAAAAACTTCCTTTACAAACTATTAAATGGCAAAAACTTTCTTTATAAGGCATAAAATGCCACAAAAACCTGATCATCATACCTTTTTTGTTCATATTGACATTGTCGAAAGTGAAATGAGATCGTCTTCTTGTTGCACTATTGGGCGTGGGGGTTGAGAATGCACTGTCAGTGCTGATTTGAAGTGGTGACAAGCCGGGTGGCGAAATCGACAGCGACAGGGACGGGGAGCTCAGACCTGGAATGTTACAGTATAATACAACAGGTTACAGTATGCTAGAATTTTTAAATAATCTGGCACAAATCTTGTACCTAAAATTCCAAAAAAATTTAAATTTTAATATTTCAAAAAATTTTTACCCAAATGATTAGCCGGAGGGGAGAAAGGAAAAGCCACTCCAGAATCCGACGAACTTGATGACATTCTTTCATGACGATGATCCAGCCGATCCAACATCAATGTGCTTGTCGCTCCGCCACTGTGAAGCCGAAAACCGTGAATTCCTTCTACCTGAAACCAAGATTCATTAAGTTTTATTAAATTTATATCAGCTTACTTTTTTACTTTTTTATTTCATTCCCCCTACAAGAAAATTGACTTTTTTTCAGAAAATTGCGGGATTCCCGGCCTGCGGAGATAAAACTTCCTTGTATAACGAAAAACTTTTCAATCCCGTTAACACTACACAGTGCATTTAAAGCTCCTGTATAACAAAACTTCCTCAAAACAAACAAATTTTTAGTCCCCTAGCGATTCATTATACAGAAGTTTCAATGTGATAGTTTTTTTAATAGAAAATTTCATACCATAAGCCAATAACTCTCCTTTTACCACGCCTCTCACCAACTTAAAAAATTCTTCCTCCCCAACCCGTCTAGTATATACTTTTCTAATTCTTCTCTAGCCTTGCCTAAGCCTTGCCCAAGTCTTTCCTAAGCCTTACTTAACCCTTGCCCTACACTTGTCCTACTCTTGACTTACTTTTGCCTTACTCTTGCCCTACCCTTGCCCTATCCATGCCCTACTCTTGCCATACCTTTGCCCTACTCTTGCCCTATCCTTTCATTTTTCCTTATCCTACTGTTTCCCTATCCTCGTCCTACCTTTGCCCTACCCTTACCCAACACTACACCCTACCCCTACCCTTCAAACACATCTACAGTAACCAAACCTCCATCCTAAAAACTATTTTCCGTTACGTTTATTGTACTTTTAAACCGTCTAAAAATATGTCACGACGTTTTTTTTTCTTCCTTGAACTATTAAAAGTGACTTTGAGCGTCATCAAGTTTTGGCAAAAATAGAAATTTGACGTCGATTTTGGTCGCCAAAACGTTTCCAATCGTCTGTCATTTCTGTGTTTGGGAAGCGGAAACACACTCGACTGGTCATTTTAGGAAAGGGAAGACGCGTTTCACGGAAGTTCGAGGGTCAAAAAGTCGAAAGAACATTAGGAAATTAGCATAATATTGAAGTAGGTTGATATGGGTAACTTTTGGTATTAAAAATAGTTTATTATACCAAAATTAGTACTGATACTACTTAAAATAGTACTGCTTTTAAAGTTTAACAGACTGAAAATAATATGCATTGTATTAAAAATCTTGTCGTCAGATTACTATGTTTACAATGACCAAAAACGACAAAACTTTTTTATGGCATAACACATCTAAACAGTGCTTCAAAATGTTCAGAATGGTCCTCTTAGTACTAAAAATGATGTTCATCCTACTAAGAATAGCACTGTAATCCAACAAATGGTCCACTAAGGGCCGTCTACAGATTTTTTTTGGGGAGGGTGAATCTACCCCCCATCCACCCTCCCCGGCCTTTCCCCCCGCCTATGACTACGTCCCTGATACCACACAATCCTAAAACCCTAATCAAACCTTAACATCCCACCAATTTTAACCATTCCCTACCCCAATCGCAAAAAGTTACAGTAACCCACCAGATGGGTGTCCACATAGACCGGTGATACCAATGGACTTTCGACCGGATTACGGTACTGTGTGAAGCTGAAAGCATTTGAGACGGTGGGTTCGGAGAGGTTGGAAACACAAACGGTGGGCAGCTGCATCAAGGGTTTGGGCCGTGGCCGATGCAACGGCTCCTCCGAGGTCGATGGTCCGAGGTCGCTGGGCCCGGATGCCATTAACTGGAATTAAAATTGGGTAAGAATGTGAATGTACCACTATAAAATTGTAAAGTTTGAGCAATCGCGCACAGTGGTAATGGTTGAGTACAAAACTTTATAAAAAGAAACAAATTTTATTAAACTTTTTTTAAATTTTGCAGGCAATCACATCAAAATCGACCTCTCCCACTTCAAATTTCAAAAAATTCTAAGCTCCTTGTTAAAAAATCAACAAAAAAATTAAAATTAAACTTTAAAATCTGCTCATCGGTACAAAAAATTAGAAGTTTTTCTACCCTCCCTGCTAAACTTTCAAACTTTGACCCTGCCCTTTTAAAATTAACTTTAAAAAATCTACCCTCACTAGAACTAACAAAGAAAGGTTAAATAATGCTATGGCTAAAGTTAGGCTAGAGATAAAGGGGTTAGCCGTGGTTTAGGCTTTGGCAAAGGCAACAAGTCAAGTTTAAACAAGCGTCAAAAACTATTATTACAATCCGCTAAAATTTTTTAATTTACCCCCTTCGTTAAAAATTCAACGTCCAAACTCCACGCCTTTTCATACGAGTAAAAAAAAATTTTAATTTACCCTGCCCACTAAAACAAAATATTTAAAATATATCCTCCTCGGTAGAAATCAAGTTTCAAAATCTACCCTGCCCAATAAAACCTCAACTTTTTAAACCCTCCCCCCATCCTTTCTACCCTCCCCGCTAAAATCTACACACCCCGCTAAAAGCGATCATAAGCCTCCAAAAGTCGACCCATGTTCTCAAATGAATTCAGAATAAGCTACACAAGCTTGCCTACACCGCTTCCCATTCAAAGTTTTTGTATTTTGTGTAGCTCAAAGCGAAACCCTCGCCCGGGAGGTGGAACAAGGAATTTTAACCAAAGCGCTTAATCCCACGCCCAAATTATGCAAATCGGGTTGGGGGAAAAGGCACGCGTGTATCGAAATTTAATACCCAAAATTTTGAATACGATCCCTGGCAAGCAATTCCGTATCTGTTGTGTGAAGTGATTTCGGATTCAAAGCCGGATTTCAATAAATTTCAAACCCAAAATTTTGAAATTTCGAAGAAGATTGAATAATATCCAAGAATTTTTTTACTATTAAAATGACTTTTTTCTCCCCCTTAAAAGTTCTCTCCTCCCCACCCAAAAACTAGATCTACAACTAGAGCTAGAAATAGGGGACATAAAGAACGGGCCGGGCCCTATTTAAAAACCGGCCCAATGAAAATGTTTCACAGAGCCGGCTTAAATTTGGGCTAAGCCCAGCCCTTTTCATGTCTAGAGCTAGAGATTGAACTAGAGCTGAGCCTAGGTCTTCAGCGTGAGGTAAGGCTATAGATTAAAGAACTCAGTCTAACGCTAGGGCTAGAGCTCTGGGCTAGGGCTAAGGCTAGGGCTAAGACTACAGATGTAACTATAACTATGGCCAGGGATCAGGGCTAGGGCTTAGGCTAGGGCTTAGGCTAGGGCTTAGGCTAGGGCTTAGGCTAGGGCTTAGGCTAGGGCTTAGGCTAGGGCTTAGGCTAGGGCTTAGGCTAGGGCTTAGGCTAGGGCTTAGGCTAAGGCTTAGGCTAGGGCTTAGGCTAGGGCTTAGGCTAGGGCTTAGGCTAGGGCTTAGGCTAGGACTTAGACTAGGGCTAAAAAGCAAAAAAAAAGGTTTTATTAAAAATTTGTCCGCCCCCCCCCCGCGCAAAAACTTATAAATATCGAAAATTTTAAATCACGACTCTTTCAAACCAAACCCCCTCCTTTGTCTTTAAAATTACCCCTACCCTCTCGCAAAAGCACGCCCTACAATAAACAAACTATTCTCTATAGAAGCCAGACAAACCAATACAAAAAATAAAATATAAGTACAACAACATGATGATCAAGTAAAATCAAAAAGTCCGAAAATATGATATTTTCAAAATTTGAAAAAAAAATATTTTTTGAAATTTCAAAATTTCACGAATAGCAAAACAAAGATCATCCAAAAAAGCAGGCGGAATTATTCAAATATTGACTTTGACAAATAAAACAAACTCTTTAAACCCGGCTGGCCTCCCGCCCCCCCCCCTGAACTTAATTTCATTTTAAAAAACCGGCGGATTCAAGAAGCAAAAACAAGGTTTTAAGAATATTTGAACTTGAGTAAATATAATATAATAGTACATAAATAACATAGTAAACGTTGTAGATTATAATAAAACGACATAGCTTCATATAAACCGGATGATGAAACTAGCATTATATTATCAATATAAACCTTTATAACATATTATTTCTCCTTATCATTACGTTCTTTTAATATTACATCCGGTTGTTAAGAAATTTTACAACTAATCGGCCTCCCTACCCTACCTTACCCTACCCTACCCTACCTACCCTACCCTACCCTATCCTACCCTACCCTACCCTACCCTACCCTACCCTACCCTACCCTACCCTACCCTACCCTAACCTACCCTACCCTACCCTACCCTGCCCTACCCTACCCTACCCTACCCTACCCTACCCTACCCTACTCAACCCTACCCTACTCTCCGCTAGCGTAATATGGTAGTAGCCATGCTGAAGCCATGCCCAAAGTTAGTACTACCTACCGTACCCGAATTTTCTCTGTCTCACCCTACCCTACCAAACCATACTTTGCCTTACCCAACTATCACTATCTCTTAAAATAACGTACAATTGCTTTACCCTAGCCTACCATGGCCCACCTTGTCATTTCCCGTAATAATTTGACCTACTCTTCTTTACACTTTTCTCGACTAACCTAATCCTACCAGATTCAAAAAGAATGGCGCGTCAAAATCCAAGTCCATTCTACCATGACCTACTGTAAAGTAAATTTAAAAAAATTATGATTTACCGCCTCCCTTCCCCCTTTCAAAATACCTATCGTCTTTAAATACCCTTCTAATTTCTCATCCCCCCCCCCCTTAATCAAAATTCCAAAATACCGTCACCCATGACCCGCATTCCTCACAAAACCCCTTCAGGAAGACGTTTGTTCCACGAGCGTTCGCGTACATTTCACGAACGTTCCGTTCCGTCTTTTTCTACATTTCGAGGTTTTGGACTGTTAGTGCTTGCCCCACCTCGCTCCAAGATAAGCCCTCCCACTTCAACCAAAATTCCAAATGTAAACAATGCGAGTTCAAAGTTAGTCATCCAAATCAAAGGCCCTGGATTCTCAAACAGCTTGTCTGGGTTTGAAGTGGCAGTGATGTGGGGAGGGGAGTCGAGCAGGGCTGTAAGGAAGGAGGGTAAGTGGTGGTTAGAAAAAAAGTGTACCCCTAACCCGAACGCCAAAATCTACCCTCCCGGGCTCTAACGGCCTTAAAAACCAAAGTACTTTGTGATAAGTCACTATACCAGCCCTAGATGTTCCTTTTATCCAAAGCCTAATGCCTAGACCAAATGAAAGAATGCATAGAAAGATTGAAAGTTACCCCGCCCAATAAAATTTTTACTTTAAAATTTAAACACGCCCTCCCTGATAAATTTTTAAAAAGTAAAAAAAATTTTACTGTGTACCCAACTACACCTTGAAAACCAAAATCTACCCCGATTAAAATCTTCCCCTTCCCTCTCTCTCTTCCAAACTAAAATCGCCCCTCCTCTCCAGTGGCCAAACTAAAATTGACCCCTCCTTTCTTATGATTTGGCTCTAAAGTCTGGAGAACACTTGCCAAACTAAAATTTACCCTTCCGTCCCTCTGCTGGACTAAATTTACCCCAAATCAAAAAAAACTGCCAAACTTAACGAAGACTACCCTTAAAATACTGACCAACTGTTGGAGAAACCTCAAAACCATGCCCCAAATCATGCTTACTTATACTTCAAATAAAGGAGCGCCGATTACGTAGCCACAACTTTTTCGAATGATGTATGTATAAATGTACGTCAACAAATGTTTGTAAATTAGCTCCGATAACAAGACCCAATTGCTTCAAAGCACAAGTGCACGAGCAAAGAAAACACATTAAGAAACATTTTCAGCACGTAGCAAGTTTTTTTCCGGTACTCGAATGAACTTGAACATTTTAGGTAATACGTTTGTTATTAGTATTGACTATTGTTATAGGCAAGAGCGTCGCTAGAGGAGAAGAGTAAATTGAAAAAAATTCAAAAAGTCGCCAAAACAAAAAAAACTAAAAAAAAATACTATCTTCCCACACCCAATTAAAAAAATCAAAAAAAACCCTGCCCATCACAACGCAACGCTATTTTTACTTTCGATTTACCCTGCCTCAGAATAAATTACCAAAACCTAAATCTAATATGAGGATCGGGCCTGAGCAATAGTTTGATCGAGCCGGGCCTGAAAATCGAGCTCGGCCCTTTCCTCATGTCTGTCAAAACTACCCTTAATATGCCAATATATAATAGATCCTATGACAAAGCATAAGACACCCTCCCCCCCCGTCTGCTACAAAAAAAGTACAACATGTTACTTTACATTGCTTTAACTTACTTTGATAAATCTAAAAATAACCCCAAAACTAGACAGTTCTTTTTGTACTTTTATAATGATTACAGCCATATTATGTTAATATCACGTACCATAGCATTCTCTAGCTACAAATATCCACAATGCATAGTTGTAGTTAATATATGACATAAAATCGATTCAAATATTAGGAGCATACTATAATATGTCCAATAGAAAAATTGTTCTTAACAGGTTTTAAATCTGATCCGTTGTACACCTTTCGCAAGTCAAATTTTTCGTTGCAGGACCTAAGCTAGGCCTTAGAGTTTTCAGACCGGCTCTTGGGTCTGCACAGCTTCAGGGCACAATCCAGACTCATATCTTAATTTTGGCCGTGTCCAGACTGGGCCAGGTCTAGTGGTCCCCTATTCTGATCTAACCCAGTTCTAGAAAGAAAAGTGTAGCAAACCACCATTTTCAATTCAAAAATATTTTAAAATTTCAAATTTCGTCCGAGAACCCTTTCAAATCTCAGACTTTGGCCTGAAATTTCAAAAACCTTCCTTAGGCGATTTGCCC